TCCTCGGCCGGTCCTTAGGAGGTGTTCGGCTTCGCCGGTGCCTCCTTGATCTTCCTCGGGACCTTTCTTCACGTTTGCGGCTGCTCGGAGGCCATGCATACTGTACAATCAAAGCTTTCCGAGATAAATAGCCTGAAATTCGAGTGGACCAACTTCCTGCAGATCTTGGGTTTCGGATGGACCAGGCTTTGTCTGGTTGCAGGTAGGTCACTGCTCTGTTGGCCATGTTGAGCCGGAAGCCCAGAAATTGATGGTTCGTAACTTCCTCCAGCTGGATAGTTCCTCCATAAAAAGAGAGGTGTTGAAAATCTTTCATGCATTGATGCGATAGAAAGTTCTCGTCGCACACCACAAGTCGATTATCAACATACCTGCAGACAAACAGTTCCGATGCTTGGTTGTCAAAAAACCTAGCTGAATTCAGGAACTGATGCCATTCTCTTTGCCAACAGGATTCTCTTTGAATCACTGGAAGACTGCTGAGGACCGGGCTGATTTGATTGCCTATACATGTGCCCCGGTGTTGCCTGAACAACAGGCCAAGAGTGGTGAACACTCCTGCTTGAAAAGAGGTCTGTACAATAGCAGTCAGGTCAGAAACATGAAGAAATCTTATGTGTTTGGCTCCCTTTGCCATGGGTTTACCTGGCCAAGCAGACTCACAATTGGGTTGCTTTTTCAGGGATACCGTAATGTGTGGAGGGTACTCCTGGTCTTGATACAGCTGTACAAGCATTGACAAAGAATCCAGGATTTGCTGTCTGGGCACAGAGTTGAAAAATCCCACTAGGTCATCATTAATTTCAGCGAGGTGCACCGTAGGAGGGGTGCGGCGAAGAAACTGATGCAGCTTCTTCCAAAGTTGGGGAATAGTGGCTAGGCCCATGGCTTCAGGCCAGACCAAGCGAACCATCAAAAGAATCGCTTGCGCCGCTGCAATCAACAACTTCTTGATACAGCTGTTGGAGTACGATATTATCGTCCTCCCTTTCAAAAATTCTTTCTTTCGTTTGAGAAAGACAAACCCCACTGGTAAGGTGCCAGAAGCATTGATTCCCCAGCGATATCTTCTTTTCAGTATGCCGGGAATCTGTTGGAAAACTCGCTGGTTCCAGAGTTCTTGGGAGCCTTCCACAGGCTCGAAAACATCTGGATCCTGCCAGGTCTTCATGGCAGCCTGAAGATAGAATCTGGGACAGAAGACCATAAGATGATTCGGCTCATGGTCTTCGCAATGCACAATGAACTGTCGGTGCAGTAAGTCGCGAGCAGCAGAGACATCTCTCCACGTGAGCCGACTTTCTTGACTCAGGTGATCGAGGTGTTTGCTCCATTGTTGCTCGAGAAATTGCTGAAAAGTTCGATCCACACCCTTGGGAAGACAATGCTTGCGCCGCCAAGACGCAAACATACGGGTGTTGTGATTGAAAAATTCTCCTTTGGAAGGAAGAAACGCTGAAGATGCACTGCCACTCCCTAGTTTCTCAAAGGAGCGGTGAAGGCTGCCTAGTTGTTCTATACCTGCTACAACATGGCCTCGAGTGAGGCACTGTTCTGGCAGCAGTTTGGTATAGTAACGGCAAGGGCACGGTGCATCAGCAACAGAATGATTCTGTAACCATTGGTCCCAGTCTTTGAAGTTGTGTATAAAGTCCTTGAGAGACTGATGAGGTTGCTCTCTGACTTTGCACACTGGTAAATGAAAAGGTATAAGAATTGGCTTGTGTGCCAATACAAGCTTTCGGACCCATCTGGAGACATCTGACCCGAAGCTTGGGGATGCAGTGAATTTCAACTGCAAGCCCAGGGTAGCCGAAGGCCAAGACATGTTGCGAAACTGACAAACACCTCGGAGCACCTTCCTGGTCTTACTTTTGCCAGGCTCTTCCAGGCAGTTGCTCAACCGAATCAGAGAGTAAATCTCATCCGGAAGGTATCGGTCGCTTCGCAGCTTTTTTGCCTCTTCAAAGGGGGCACGGCTGAAGCATGTAAGATTGAATAATGTCTCCCATGCCGACCTTCTCTTGAGCTGGAAAGGAACGGGCTGAAGTTGTCTGTGGAGTTTCTTTCTCAGTTTTCTCCACAGCCTTAACCCGAAGGAGGTAATGTACGGGTGATTCAGTTTAGGCTGCCACATCCCAATTAAGCAGTGCTCAGTTACCCATGCTTCCTTGTAAGTTGAGCATGGAGAAACGAGAAACAAAGTGTACTGCTCAAGACACTGATTGGACACCCAGTATCGGATGGCTAGCTCGGCCTGAGCTTCACCTCCGTTTGCCAGCTTCCTGGCAACTGAGAATCTGTTGGACTCTCTTCGAAAAACTGATTGGCTGGTGGAGCCTATGTACATGAATGTGGAAGGCTGCCTGTAGTGCTCAATACTTGAAAAATGGCGCCAGTCCACTGCTGTTTTCATATACACCGCATTCTGTGATTGAAATCTTGGCCACGTGTAGGTGGCGGGATGTACCCGGAACTGCTGAAGCTTCTGTCGAATAGTCTCAGCATACGACGACGGGGAACCTTCTTGAACGTAAAATAGCAACAGAAGATGAAGCAGGCCTTGGGCCCACAGTGCAGACTCTTTGTTGAAGCCCGGACAGTGGTGCAAAAAGAACGTCACAGCCTCTCCCAACATACAAATTTGCTGCTTGATTCCTTGTTTGCTTGAAGCAGCAAGATGTTGGCATTGAGCTGCTAGTCAAGCAGTTTGAAATTGTGCAACAGCAATCACAGTAGACAAATTCTTGATGGACAGTCTGGATGCCAGCTTTGGATCCAGTCCAAACTCTTTAGCAGCTGAAACCAGTTGATCTTTAGATGCTTCAGTTTTGAGAAGCTTCTGAACAGTCTGTACATGCTTAACCAGCAACTGGTACTTGCCTTTAAACTCTGGCTTGTTCTTGTAGGTAGCCAGCCATTCAGTGACATGGTCATCCGTGGCTCCTTTGGGGCGAGTATCCAGCTTTCGTTGTGGATCTTTAAGGAGCTGTTCAGCTTCCATCTGGGATTCCGGCTCAGCAATAGGCATGGCGGGCTTTGCCCGTCTTCCTGAGTCTGGCTCAGGATCTTCAGTTGCCTTCCTTTTCAAAGGGGACATTGCAATGCCATGCTCAGCCAGTTTGGCTTTAGCTTTGGCGAGCTCTTCAGAGGCATCCGAATTTGTTGGAGGCGCTTTGGCCAGAACACAATTCAGAAGTTCTTGAGCAAGCGGTTCCATGAATCGCATTGCCTCCTTATGCTTGTCTGGAGGAGCTGAGCTGTGGCAAGCTTTTGCTGCCTCATCGATAGAGACACCACTCTCACGAAGTTTCTTCAACAATGCCGTAATGAGTACCGATTCTTGGCCACTTCGAGCCCAGACGATACTCTGATGCCGTCCTTCTGACAGCAACCGAAATGAAAAATCTCCAAGACCTCGATGAGCAAGCTCAAAGGCACGGATGTCACTGACATCACGGCCAGCTAACCCAGCTTTGCGAGACCACTCTGTCGGTTGAACCAACTTATGCAGCACATGGGCACCTTTGCCCAAAGGGGTCTTGTCGTAGTGCTGCTCGTCAGAAACAAAAGAAGACGGCAAAGAGAAAGTTTGATATGTGGGGCTGGCTACATGTTCCCACGATTTCTCAGAGTATTTGGAGTCCCATTTGTCTTCTTTGCTCCATCGATTCCATTGCTGTCTGTTGTCCCAGCTGTTGCTGGAGTCGCTGTTAGACCATGATGACCAGGAGGCCATGGCGAAATCAGTTGTCCAGGGGAGAACAGTTGCTTGATCAGACTGACGGCTGTTGTGAAACGAAAGGGCATCAGTCCTGTCTGCAACTAGGCAATCAAGCCCTGAACTACAGATGATTGCTCCGTAGAGCATTTTCGAGTTTTAGAGACCAAGAGGTCTTGCTTTGGGTTTAAGCCGATCAGGGCTTGGACCGATCAGGGTCCTGTGATTTTGACTGGGCCGATCTGGGCCAAGCAGTAGGCTACCCTACCGTAGACGACACGATCGACGAAAGCCGTCTAGAGCACACTCGTGCAATCCTCCCTCTGGACTGAGCATAGTCTGTAGAATCAGTCATACCACACAGAGAGTCGGACTTGTAGAGGATTTAGGCTTACCTCTGGCCTCTCAAAATCTGTAATTACAGCGAATGTTAGGGGTTTATGGCTTAGCCCCTTTGCCATTCCAGAAATCACGCACAACAGAATGTGGCCACCAGCTGGAGTTCTTCTCCCCAGGTGCACCACTGCAGGTACGTTTTCACTGCAAACACAGAAGCGTCTTCGTTGGCTGGAGACTTCTGTGATGCACTCCAGCCCCCTGCAAAAATAATGCATATCAGCAAACCTTGGCAAACAGGTGTTCCACACACACACACAGACACACACTCAGAGACACACACACACACACACAACTGGAGCAAGAGGCTGCGATTTTGCGATTGCGGCTGAATTTGAAGCCTTTAAGAGTGTTTCTTGCTGATGGACCTGCGTTCCGAAGTTAGATGAACCAGTGATAGGTGAGTGATGGTGAGTGAATGGTGCCAGACGGATGGAATCCCGAACAGTGGAAGGAGCCGCCATTGGCTGCCCCGATTCTCTCAGCTCCAGGCTGTTTGCGGGAGGTGCGCAGCTCTGAAGGTTTTTGCTTGCAAACAAGAGGCATTTCTGCGCAATTCTGAGCTATGCTTAGGCTGTTTTCCCGTGCTTGCTTCCAGCTGCGGGTGGACGCACTATCGCTGCTGAGCCGGCAAAGCTCGAGGAACCGCTTCACACAATCACGTCCAATTATCATGTCCAAGTCAGGTCTTCAGATCTAATGCAGCATCAACAAGAAGTGGGAGAGTGTGTCTGTCGCATTCCGGCTCGGCTCATGACTGACAGATGTGGCTGAGAGTGGCCACATCATGCTTTCATGCAGAACATCTTTGGTGAGTGTGCTTGCGGAGATGTCGTCGCACTCAACACCCTCATAGCGAAGTCATGAACTGCTACCATGTGCAATGACTGCAGCCCTTCTGGGCTTGGAGTGCGAGTGGGTGGAGGCGTGCAATGCACGAGGTATGAAAGGGGGTGTCAAGCTGGAGCACCGCCTCGTTTGTTTCTGCCGCAGGTCAGCGATGAGCTTCCAACTGAGCGGGGTGGGGCAGAGTTTGTTTTCCACTGCGCGGCTCCGCGCCTTGAGGTTGAAGTTTTTCTGGCACCGGCCATCGTGGGCAGCTGTGGAAGAGCAGAGTGCGGACCCAGAAACAGCAGCGGACCCAAGCACAAACTATGCAGTTCACGCAGTCACGCTGCACAGCGATCTCCTAGAGGTTCGGATCTTTCTGAACGGATGCTTCGACCTCATGCATGTCCGAGCCTCTGCACCGCCGTGCAACACCATTCGATCAAACTCGACGTCGGCTTCACGATGTGTAGCTGCGAAGGTCGGTCACTTCAATGCTCTCAGACAGGCGAAGCGCCTCTTCTTTCAGCAGGGGTACAAAAAGGCCACAGCCGGTCCACGCTTCTGTGCTTGCACGGCACACCTGCATAGGCGCGTGTGGCTACCGCATAACTGTTGCATGGCATGGACATCGGGCAGGTGGTTATGCTTGCCGGGATTCACTCTGATGAAGCCATTACTCGACAGAAAGGCCCTCCTATGATGTCGGACGATGAAAGAAGCTCAGCTGATCCTGGCAAGCGGGGTGATGGCCTCTACCATGGCAGTTCTCCACTAGCCATGACATGCCAACTTGCGGTGCAATCTTGAGGAGTTGCAGTTTTGGAGGCCACGAAATGGGTGGATGAGCGTGCCGCATGCATTAAACAAGACGAGAGACTCACCACGAAAAGAGCTGACATTATGAGAAGATGTTGCCAAAGATGGCCAAGGCATGTGACAGCAACAGATGCCTGCACACGTGTCTTTGTCTTCAGCTTAGGTTCGTGACTCATTTGCCCTATGTCTCTATGTCTTCACAGATGGCAGATGCCCTGCGCGTAAGATGGATATGCCATGGCGACGATATGCCGATCTGCAAAGGCAAGCAACTTTCTTTCGTTGGGTTTCCTGACATGGCATCTGGGTGTCTTTGCACAGATGGCGGTGGCATGTACAGCGATGCCATTGAACATGGCCGCTTCCAAATGTTCCGAACTCAGGGGCTAGTGAACAGATGTGAACAGCATGTGGCCTCTGCTCACTGTGGCATAACCTTCTCAGAGCAGCTTCACCGTAGCATATGTAAAGTTGTAATGTGGGTAGTAGGGTAGCAGCTGGCATTTCACTGTGGTCACGGCAGGCTGAAGCGCACTGAGGGCATTTCGACGACTCAGTGCCTTGGCCACCTCGAGAACGAAGGTGTGCGGAGGTGCCATCATGGCATGCGCAAGAGCCGAGGATCATTGAGCGCCTCCTTCGGCAGCAAGGCCTGGGATCCCGCTCTGAGGCGGAGGCCAGCCGGGCAATGCAAAAGCCACAACATCCGAGCGTCGGCACCGTCTCGTGCTCTCTAGTCTCTGCTGTGTGGACTTTCCATCACTGTTCGAAGTCCGATGCCGTGCCCGAGCCACCAGAAGACTTTTGCCCCAGTGCGTCCGCCCAAACCCCGGTAGTCGTAGCGCCTGCATACGGCCTTGGAAGCCGTGATAAGGCCATGGAAACAGCTTTGGCCACAACGCAGCGCCTTGGACAGTTCGCAGCTCCCGCAGATCCAGAGCCGCTTGGGTTGAGAAGTCTCAGAGCGCAAGGACAGTCGAGGGGTCTCTTTGCTGAGGCAGGGAGCGAAGTTGCTTACTTCGGCCAAGCATGTGGTCTATGCAGCCTGCCTTGGTTACCTTGGTTCAGGGACGGAGCTCCATTCTCCTGACGGCTGTCCGGCTGTCCCGGGCAGGTGCCAGGGATCTTCGACCTTGTGCACCCGGGCCATGTCAGCATCCTTCAGCAAGCTGCGAAGCTTGGAGACTATTTGTAGCTTGGCTCATTCTGTTCTCAAGTGCTGCACAGATCCTGTTCTGATTTTGCTTCCAACACACCAGGCTTGTGGGCCTCTATTCTGACGAGACAGTTCGCCAGCACAGGGCCATGTCGCCGGTGCTGACCATGTTGGAGCGAGCCATGGCTGTGCCGACCTCAACACATGCGCACCTCACAGATCTTAGTTCTGTGTGAATTTTGCAGTCATGCATGAGAGGCGACAAGCCAGTGGCAAACCGAGACACTGCAATCAGCAGTGCAAACTTTTCTTTTATGTAGGGTCTCCTGGTCTGTGCTGTGTTTTGGTGCGCATGTGGCCGTCGGAACTTGGTTGTCTTTCCTGGCGGGCATGTGCGTTCTTGGTTTGTGGCTTGGGTATCTTTTCGCTGTGGAGTTTGGGTGTTATCTCTAATCAGCGCTGCGCAAGAAAACTTTTGTTTGGGCAATCGCTCAGCAGCGTCTTGCTCTCTGTGTCTGAGACGCACAAACTCAGCTGTATGACTGGACTTGAGGCGATCTAGGGCCCGCATGTATAGATGTCCTCAACACAAGTTACTTTGACTACAGGTCTTTTTTTTTGCGAGAGTGGACGATGGTTTCAGGTCGGTGCAAGTTGCGATAGCAAATCTTTAAAACTGAACCCCCCAATAAACCCGAACTCGCTTTCGGCTTGAAATTGAAGGTGACCCCCAACTTTAAAAAGATAGAGAACGGATCATGGGGAGCTCGAACTGGAGTCTCATGTTTGTTACTTGTTCCACAGTGCTTTGGCCAAATCAGGTGCTGTCCACTCGCTGGGTAGATGACGTTGTCCTTGGCGTGCCATGGAAGATAACGAAGGATCTGCTGGCAACGATGCTATCAAGCTGCAAGAAGCCTTTCGTGCGTCATTCATGCAGCTGGAGCGTTTGGACGGCGGTGAGTTGAGGAACATCAAGACGGTGGTCGTGGGGAGGCCACCGGACGGCTTGGAGTCGGAGCAACGTCGTGCCGAGGAGGAGACGTGTCACGGATCAGGGGTCTGAGATCTTTCTGTGCTTGTGTGCTTTTGTTGCCGTGCCAGGAGCAGATGGCTGTAGCCCGTGCGGAGGGCCTTCTGACGGAGCTCTCGAGCTCCTTTGCGGTCTCCTCGGAAGCACTGTCCCGTCCTCAGCCTCAGGCTTGGCTCATGCACAACATGTCGCTAGATGTAGCCACTTCTTGCCAACATCACGGTGCGTGCCGTCCTGGTGTACCGTTGCCATGATGGTATGAAGATGATCAGGGGTCCCTTGTTCACAGATACAAACCTGACCATGGGCTTGGAATACTAGTCTGCCTGACAGCATTTGATCTGCTTTCTTGGGACTGCTGTCATTTAAGCACCGAAGAACGTCATGACGGTGAGTAACTGTGTAGTTCGCATCCTCTGCCTGGTCGTCAGGGTGCTTAGTTTCCGAGGCGGTTAAATGAGATGCCACGCATGAACCTTCCAACCATGTTTGACAGAGCAGCTACGGTTCTCATCGATCTCCAGTCAGCAAAGGAAGCAGCGCTTCATTGCCAGATCTGGTGCCTTTCTGGACAGAAACAGTTTCTTGGCATCGGTCAGAGGTTCGGCATTTGACAGCATGCGAAGCTCAGGCAAACTCTTCGAGAAAGAGCTGGCCTACGCAAGCACCAAGAGCTACGTTCCGGAGGCCACACAGCCACAGGGAAAGCGAGTGATGTGCAGAGTGCTTACTTTGGCAGGCCTGACCGTTGCGGTCGTGAAGTCACGAAGATGAGGGCCGTGGAGGTGCTGTTCCCAAAATGCGGTAAATCATAACCATGTTCGGATGCCCTATCCCCCTGCACATGGGCGGTGTGGGCTTGAGACTCCTGTCAGTGCCTGAGGAAGCTCGCCCAACTCTCGCGGATGTTCATCGTGCTGTGCTTCGTTGCGACAAAGAGGAGATGAGAGAAGGACTTGGATAGCACGAGCCTCTGCCGGAGACGTCACCGACTGGCGATTGCGGTGGCTGCAGCAGTGCCTGCAGACGGACTCACCCGAGAAGCTGACTTCCTGGCGGGCCTGTGCAGCCCGCCCCGACCATAGAGTAGCGAATGACAGCCTCTCAGTGCTACTCGCAAGCATCAAAAATGGCCAGCTTATTGCGCAAGCAGCGCCAAAAGGCACGGAGTTTACATGATTCGCAAGCAACATCTTGCAACCAACACTGTTTCTCGAGGCAGCGCCGGCGCGGCCGGCGGAACCTCTGCAGCTCAGTAAAGCAGTGTCCCTAACAATCGACGCTTGACATTTCGCTGACACAGCTCCTCCGTGTATGGCCCATGATGAGGCAGATGTTGGTGCTGGCTTGCTAAAGGTGCCTCAGCATTTCATCTGCCAGCAGTGCATGAAATCCGGGCTCAGTGTGTCAAGACGACATCCTTATCATGATTGTCCGCCTCGCTGAAGGCACCAACAGCTCTGCTCGCTGCTCATCTCCAGCTAAGAGATGCCATGATATCTGCGGAAACTCTGCTTCGTGAGGCCTGCTGCATGTGGGTGGCACAAACACAAGAAACAAGCCTCAGGGTGTGAAGTGGTGGAGCGAATCGCAGATGCTGTGTTCCTGGCAGTCGGCGAATCGCAGCGGCGCGGCTGGGTAGAGCAGAGAGAGAGAGAGAGTGCTGCCATCACCCTAGTCGCACTCAACAAAGTGTGCGAGTGGCGCAATTAGATTGATTGGAGCCTGGAGCTCATTACAAGAGGTACAAGGATCACATGTAGAGAAGATTAGAGATTAGTGGGTGTTTCTTTTCATACCCATGGCTCCAAAGCTTGAGCGATTGCTCCAAAGCATCGGCGTTCGATTATGGCAGCCCCGGGTGCATATCCTTGTACGTCCAGAAGTAACGTTTTGATTGTCCTGAGAACTAGAATCACTAGACTTGGCTCTGGATGTCAAGTCGAAATCGATTGTCGCGGACAATCAGTTTCAGTAGGTCACCTTTGGCAACACTTGTTGTCTAGAAACTATCGTGTGGTTCCAGCTCGGGAAAAGTGTGCTTCTGGCTTCTCTGTTTTGGTCAGCAGTTAAAACAAGAAATCTCCGTCGGTGACGGTGGTTCCCTTGCTGCACTACTCCCGGCCTCAACCTGGGACACGTACGAAGCAATTGCAACACTCTCTCCGGGTGCCATTCCCGTCGCCGGTTGATGACTTGCGGCACCAGGGTCCTTGTCCAGCTTGTCCAAGTGCCAGCAACGAGTGGCTTGCACGGGTGTTTCCGTTCGGTTTCAGTCACGAAATCGAGTTTTACGGGAAGTATTGTGGCATGCGTGTGTGTGATACCTAGATGCCAAGAAGCAGTGGAAAGGGCTCATACCCCTGAATGTATCAAAGCTTCGCGATGCGTTTCTACAGCCTAATGTATTCATGCCGACATGCGAGCATACTAACCTTCATACACCGCAACATGTGTATGTGTTTATATACATATATATATATATATGTGTCTACATATCTATGTCTATATCTGTACATATATCAGCATATGATTCTATCCATAGATGGTGAGCTGTTGGTTGGGTTGTCGAGATGCAGAGAATTTACACATTTACACCCCTTTCTTGAATATATATTGCGAACAACGACAGGTCGTATGTGTAACGTAATCAAACATAATCTATTTCAGACTTGCTGTCGTCATTCATATTGATAAAGACTCGTAAAAGATTCAGGCGACCTCTGTAATGCGCAAGGATTGCAAGGAGGTGAGCCCAATTAGTATAGGGAAGCTTGCAGTGGACCCTGCATGCAAGTTCTGGCACCAGCGACCCCAAAACGCAAACAGTTACACATACACAAAGATGGCTAGTGCAGATAGGAATGCTAGCAATGAAACTGCCAAGAACACAGAATAGTTGTCCCACAACCTTTTTTTTGGCGCTTGTTGTGATATGGATGCACAAATGCAGATTTGTGCGTAGCTTTCATTCCTTTCGTTTTCCTTGCCCATCGCATCACACAGTTTTGCTTCTGACAATCTGTCAGACGTTTGTTGATTCTCACAATAGTTCATACAACAAAACCTGACATAGTACATGAACTTGAGACTTCACCATGTTGTAGTACACAGACACACTCTTGACATACATGCTATAGCGAGATGGATGCATGGGCATGGGGGTGAGCATGGTGCGCCATCCGCCGCAGCCCGGGCGATATGCTGGGTGTTCATACAATCAATGTTTTTGATCAAGTCAGGATAGATTCCATCTGGTGTCTGCGCGACAGCTGATGCGCTTGATGCCGAAGAAGCAATGAACGTCACACTCTGCGATGGGTGGATTGCTAGGATGCTGAGTTCAGAGAGACTTTTGTTTTCCGAGTGCGCCGAGTGCTCCAAGTCCTGCCATGGGGCGCGTGGAGCTTCCGCTGCTGGGAGACGGTGTCTCCGCGCAGGAGGATTTCCAAGGGCCCTCACACCTTGGGTCGGACCATTCTCCGGCTGCAGCCTGCGAGGAGCTGCCCCGCTGTTCGTGGTGCGGCAGCATCTCCAGGACAGCGCCGCTGGCTACAGATGATGCGAGAAAGCGCAGTTCAAACCTACGAAAGAGCTGTCATGGCAAATTAGCATGGTGTGTCGAAGTAAGTTTGCCGCCAGTATCATCCAACGCTTCATCGAATCGGTGGGTCTGGTGTTTTGACTGAAGGCACTGTGGGGCACTAGGCCCTCAACCCTTTCGGCTTCAAGACCCCAGACCGCCGACAAGGCTTTTCCCAGTCTCACCAGCTATGCATCAGCAGCATGTGAGTTGCAGTCTCAAAGAACATCCAGCCACATCTGTCTGTCTAGCGTGCCAGACCCTGGTGCATGAAGTATCAGAAGAAATCAGCGGGGTTGAAGTATGAAGAAATCAGAGGGGTGGAGCAGGAACCCAGGCCCGCCAAGGAAAAGAAACAGGCCCGAGAGAAGAATAAGAAGTGAGAGGGTCCGAGAGAGTGAAGCACAGAGAGGTAGCGAGAGCTGGCCGTTCTTGCACTACCTCGCGAGAGTTGCTACAAGTCGGGACTCGCTGGAAATGGACATCCGGCTAAGCAGGAGCGTGTGTGGTTACTGCAAGGCAGGCAAGATCGGCCTCGTAAGCAAGTCGCCACTGAAAACTGGTTTTGGCAGTGCAGGTCAGGGCGTATTGCAGCTTGGAGTGCCAGCAGAACGACTGGAAGTCAGGGCCGGGAACTGGCGGCCAATGTTTGTGGTTCTGCTGCACCAATGATGTGCATTGCGGAGGCACCAAACTGCATGTGTTCGGGTAGCACCAGCTGCTTTGCCAGCAGAGGACGGGGTTTGTGAAGCCTTCCATGTTTTCTGGGACATGCGCGCTTGATTTTTTGGACGTGCTAGGATAAGGACTTCCAGCTTTACGAGGCCAGACGGAGCAAGGTTTTTCTGCGAAGGCGGATGTACCTCATCTTTGTCGTGAGCTCACGTTGCAGGTGCCCTACGTCGTGTCGATGCCTCAGACTAGCAGTGCAAGCGCCTTCACGCGGAGCACAGGTTTTAGGATTGCTACTCTCCAGGCGCTGGGCCATCAACCTGGAGCAGTGGAGGATGTCAGCAGACAGCAAGGAGTACGCGCCACCTGGCTTGCATTTCGACTCGGGGCTGTGAGGTACTGTAAGATACACCGCCAATCATAGAAGTCAGCCACAAAACTGAGAGTGTGCATTTTCATAATCCTGCATCTTGATGGAGACTGCACCAGGTGCGCTGTTTTGGAAGGCATGTGCCTTCTCTTTATGTTTATGTCATGTGGTTACCACAGCAACAAATTCGAAGCCAGAAAGAGCGCATTCCGGATTATCCGGAAAATTGCAGAAAGCCCGGACTCATCAGGCGGAGGCAACCGGCAACAACAGCCACGACGCAATCGGACACGGAATTTTGTGCAAGCAGTATCGGCAAGCATAATTAGCGCCTTTGCTGGCATTTTGGTTGTATTGGCAAGCCCTCCGTCAAGGTTCTTGCTCAGCCGCATTCCCGACAACGATGCAAGAAAGCGCATTGCTTCTTCGAAATCATGGAGCCTTGCTCTATGCTGACGGCAGTATCCGATCAATGCAACAGCCTCAGTAGCTGGAGGAGCGCGGCGAAGCTTTCGCTGGCCAAGGAACTCGCAGTGCGCGGGGCTCAGGGTTCGTTGCAACTGCACCTGCTGCACAAGACAAGCACAAGGGTCTCAAGCTCTCACTCTTGCACATGCAATTTTCAGCTTTTCCTTTCATCTCTCTTTCCCTGAGGCGCCGGATGGCCGAGGTCCTCACCCAGGCCATCTGGACGAAGGCATCTCAGCGCAAAGGTACTCGTGTGTGAATGGATGGAGAACGGCCAATGCTTCGCCGTTAAAGTCAGGGTACTGGTAAAAGCTTGGACGGGAGTCGTTGCAGTGCCCAAACCTCACAACTAGGCCGAATGTGCAGTAGTTCCAGAATGAATATTTGGGGAAGCATCCAGTCAAGTTCCGGCAGCCAGCATACCCAGCCTAGAGACCTGGACACTCCGCCACGCATGGGAAGCTCGGAGCCCGTGCAGGAAGCTCGTGCAGTTACCTTAGCCAGACCTGTGCCAGGCACAACATACTAATCGCTGATATCACCACACATCATTACAGTACGCTTGTGCATGTAAGACAGAGGCACTGTCCGAGACCATGACCTCCGTTAGTTCCTGCTAAGATGCCAACGTTTCTGCGGCACAGGTGCAGTGGCGGCATGACTCGACCACCGTGCCATACCCAGATGTCAGATTTCGGATGCAGCCGGCGCAGTTTTCTTTGCAAGCGCTGCAAGCTCGTGAGGACAGAGACTTCCTCTTGCAGAAGGAGGAGTATGCCGAGACCTCGAAAGCAACGCCAAATAGCATGGAACTGCAATCAATTGAGGTTTGGACGGGGCAGAAGTATCAAAACTCCAACCGGAGGCAGCGCTGAGCAACCGGCAAAGAGGGCTGGCTCGCCGCAGAAACTCGAATTTGCTTGCATCAACGGTTGCGAGTTTTCGTCCTGGGTCGCTCCTACGCAGGTTCCCAAATTTCAACTTCTCGATGATCGAGGCTTTCTGCTGCCCCAGGCAAATGCAGACAAAGGAAGCCCTGCACTGCTTGCAGACCGACAGCTACTTGTTCCTCGTCTCCCATCCCCTGGCCATCACCGGCATCTATGCGAGTGAGCTGATCAAGCTGGTCATGCTAGTGGTATTTTGTAGCTCCGTTGAGCGATGGGAGCTTCCAGGTGGGCCGTTGACCGCGGCTATGCCAGATCCGAGAGAAGCCGCGTGCACAGCACTCGTGTCGGTTGGTCCGATCTCGTCGAGCCTGCAAGAAGCGCAGCAAACTCAAGGCCTTTGCCGAAGAACTTGCAGCCGCCACGCATGCAGCGCAAGGAGAGGCAGACAGCTCAGCAAGCCTATGTGACCTACATGTCCAGAACAGTTTACTTTCGACGATGGCCCAGCTTCGCAGGCTTCACCGCGACAGGTGCAGTCTCCCACTCCCGTGGTCGCTGCTGAAGAGGTGGAAACTCTTTTTTTGCGAGCTGTAGTGCAGGGCTTCGTCAGCCAGATAGTTCAATGTGAGGAGGAGGAGGACTCGCGCATGCTTGGGAACGCAGAACTGATTGATGACTCTCGGCTTGTACTCAGACGGCATCTAATTTCTTTGCCAGTTCTTCCATGTGCTGGTTGTTGCAGGTGTGTGAGCCAGTTTCAGACCAGCAACGTCGCGAGCGGTTGCGGCATGCGCATGGCTCGGCGCTCCCATCCGCACAACCTGTGACGTGATGTGTTACACATGCAGCATTTCAAGTGTGTTTGGCTTGTTTTATGGATGCCCGAAAGCCCGGAGTTTCGTGCTGTGCCCGGGATCGACTGCGAGTGATGATGCAGAGCCATGGGGAAGCGGAACTGCCACATGCTAATTACTGACCACAGGCGGAAATCCTTTACGGCCGAGTGTGGAAACCCGCCCTTTACATGGGACACATGGGACCCGGCAAGAGTCTTGCAGGTTTGGCTGGCAACCCCTGGGTTTGGTGGGTTTCGAGGTGTTCGCACCCATCTTTACAAAATCGATCGGCTTGGAACGGACCACGGAGCTATGGTCACTATGTGGCTCGGGGGTTGGCGAGCAACGCTGACCGCAAGATGAGGCCGGAAGGGGGAGCGCACTGACGGTTACAACAGCATCTTTTTTGGCGAAACAGGCTTACACGAAGAAATCGTTCAACATCTGCACAGACACGTTTCAGTCCTTCTCCTGATCCCCTGGCCACGCAATGGCTCGGAGCACGCAGGTAGATATGCCAAGCAGGACATGTGCATCAAGAACTATTGCTTGAGTCCTGGAAGCATGCCGAGACTCACGGAATTCAGGCCCTGCCCAGCTGTAGCTTCGACTGCGCAAGTCATCTTGATCCACGGGATAGCTTCTCTCCTTCCAACCTGAGCAGCGCTCCGTAAAGCTTTCCACTAATAGAATGGGCAGATTCGAGCTGTGGGCGCAGCATCGTCCTGAAACTTGTCCGAATTGCGTAGTTGGTTTTTCTATGGTTATGCTGCTACTGGGCTTCTGTGTGTGTGCGTGTGTGTGTGTGTGTGTGTGTGTGTGTGTGTGTGTGTTTGTGTCTGAATGATGACATGTTCACCGAGGAGCGTTCATCAAAGGGCGGCTACACAGGCTACAGCAAACATGTGGCTTCGCTTGAACACGATGTATGGTAGTTTGAAGAAACGGACTGTTACTCATGGATGTCCACCGAGGTGACCGCACAGGAGGCCCCTCACGAAGCGGAAGCCTTCTGGGTGGACAATAGCGAGCTCCAATCTGGAACCCGTGGGATCGCCTACCGGCGCAGCATGAGCTTGGCAGACAAGGAGCCGACGAAGATCGCCGAGTTCAACACGGTGGTTCGAGGGATTCCGCACGAGACATGGCTTCAGGTGGAGGACTTCTTCTTGCCGATGAAAGTCGGGGGCAAAGAGGTGCTCAGGAAGGTCTGGTGGTCTCGGACGAGCATCGAGGCCAACCCTTTCATTGGACCGCCTGCAGAAGCCGACGCAGAAGCGGAAGAAGTCCAGAATCAGAAACTCCGCAGGACAACGTGCGAACCAGAGGCCCCGGTCCCCGAAGTGCCAAAGGCGGAGGCTCGCAACACTCCAGAAAGCCCACCGACAGCGTCACGGCCGTTGGTCGCGGGCACTGGCTCTTGGTACGAGGTGGTCTGTGAAAGGCCGATCATCCGCACTGCGCCTGACCTTGAAGCCCCCATGCAGGGCACCCGACGCCGGGGTCAGAAGCTGGAAGTCTTCGACTGGGATCCTACAAGGAAGTGGAGGAGGATTTCTACATCCTTGGGGCCTGCGTGGGTTCTGTTGGATGCAGAGACTGGCCCCGTTCTGCGGCCAAAGGATGTTCCATTTTCGCAGCAGCCGCTGCACCCTCTGTGCCAAGCAGCACGGGAAGGATGCCTCCCAGACATTCAGCGCTTTCTGTCGGAAGGCCTGGAGGTGAATGCACGCGACGTCGATGGACAGACACCCCTGATGCTTGCGGCTCAAGGCTTCGGTTGGGAAGGCTTCGTCGCCTGCGTCCTGCTTTTGGAGGCCAAGGCCGACCCAAACCTGACGCTGAACCGTGCCGACGAGATGTCCTTGCGTGAGAAGATCGTGAGGCTCGAGCGAGAGAAGCGGGCTGCTGCTGAGCACGAAGATTTCGTCAAGGCTGCAAGCATCAAGAACGAGCTCGATGCCCTCAAGAGAAACCTGGACGAGCCTGGCAGCACCGCACTCACTCTCGCAGGCGAGACAGCGGCAGCGGAACTGTTGAAGATGATGTCAACCGGAAGTTTGTCTTGTGACATGCAGAAGTTGCATGCCATTTACGATGAGATTCGCGACGTCCCCGGCCCTGAATGCAAAGGTATTCCGGGCAGAGTTGAAGCATTGGTTCGCGTCGCCGAAAGCAAAGGCGCGTCGCAGGAGCAGCAGCGCGCTGGAGAGTGCGAGGTGCAAGCCGGCGAGGCCTCTGTGGAGGCAGACAGGGAAGGGGAAGTCGACCGGCAGGAGACTAAAGAAGATCCAAGCCGAAGCCGGGACCGGGGGCCCGACAGGCCCGAGAGGGCGGAGGCAGAAGATGGTAGCGATGAGCTGCCGGTGCTTGACACGGAGGTGGCCGAGGAGTCTCGAGCAGTCGTGTACCGGGTGGTGCACGACAAGGCATGGGTCTACGAGGAGCCATCGCTGTCTGCAGAGCTTCTGGGTCAGTTGAAAAAGAATCAACTCGTAGAGGTCTTCGACTATGACCGCTCCAGATCATTTGGTCGTGTGGAAGTTTGCCATCGAAGCACCCGATTTCGGGAGAAGGGCTGGGTATTGTTCGAGGATGAGTCTCTGGGAGACCTGCTGAAAGTGTTTCGGCGATAGTGGAAAAGCCACCAGAGGTGTGCCTGCTAAGCCGAGCCCAAGCGAACGGGACTGTGTGCTCGCTGCCCAACTGCAGTAAGGCCTTGGTGGGGAAGTTCGCGTACTTCAGGACCGAAGCGGAAGAAGCAGAAGCGATGCGATGTCGTCAGCATCATCTTGCAGGACTCTAGGCAAGACCTCCGGAAGACAGTGGCAAGCTTATAGGGATGCTTTGAGCGAAGCTCTCCCTATGTCAGCACTGCAACTGCAAGTAGCAGCTGAGGTGGAGTCAGATCGTGCTTGGCCAGGAGGAGGCAGGGCTTTGGCCGGCGTCATGCGGTTGTTCTGTGTCTTGTCCCAACTCTTGTCTCTGCACGGCGCTTGTGGGGTCCGACCTCCCCTTACGTTTTTGACTCTTTCTTCAAAAGGGCCAAGAGAGGTGTTGAAAGCCTCGACGAGGGGCGGCTCGCCGCCTCTTCGACCTCAGGAGAGGACAGCGCTAAACGACGGAGTCATCTGGATAGCCGACGTGCAGGATTCCGAAGATTAAACTCCAGTCCGGAAGGTGTTCGTGAAACGCTTCTGAGAGATATGACATACTTGCACAGTCCCGAGGGCTTCACGCTTGTCCAAAGCTGGCCACCAGAAGCAACGACAGTGAGACCAACCGAATGCCAGTCGGCGGACGCCAGGATGCCCTGCGTGATAGCTTTGTTCTTGCTGCCCCTGCATCGAGACAATCAGTTTGTTAAGTTCGTAGGAGAAAGACGCAGCCTTTTGATTAACGGCTTCATGCAGAAGCTACATTGCTAAGAGCTGGCTGTTACTTTGGCATGTAGGGCTGTAGGAAGCAGACGTGCATGTCGCAGCGGAGGTTTCTGATGCCGTTGCCGGCGGAGTCAGCCTCAGCCAAGTGCTGCAGTGAGTTTCCATGCGTCTCGTTTCTTTTCGGGCTCCTCCCCGTTGCGAGGTGCAGAACCAGATGACAGGCATACGTCGTGGCAGTAACGTGGCAGCGACGTATTCGCCATCTTGCAGGCCGTCCAGACCTCGAAGGCATCCTCTTCGTCTAGGGTGCCGTCCACTGCCCAGGCCCGATGCACCTAGTGCCCTACTTAACTTTATCGTTTGTCGTGGTGCGGATCGCCCAGCATGGGAGGTGGAGGTGCGATGTTCATTGCTGGAAAGACAACCACATTGTTGTTTGCAGGGATCTCGGATGTGCGGACTTATGCGCGGGGTGCTGCACTTCTGCCGAACAAGTGGTGCATTCCGAGCCTCACCTTCTTCGCCCAGGTCGTGGACCACCTGACGAAACTATAGACCCTGAAGGCTTGCACGCGCCGCTGTAACGGGAACAGCAAGCAGGGGCAGCTGTGGTACCAAAGCTGTTTCACGTCAGGGTTTTCAACCGATGCATGGCAGCAGAGGGTGTCTTGGAGTGTTTGAGAGTCACGGAAATCGTTCGAGACGACCAGGTGAGTTCCAGCGCACACAGGCGGCAAGGTTCCTGGAGATCGTGCCCCTGCTGCATCTTGCAGTAGTGAGATGGTAGGCGAACGGAAGAGCTGTCTTCTGCAGCTTACGGCTTTCCAGTTGTGAGGATAGCTACGACAAAGCTCTGGATCACACGGAGCCGCAATTCATTGAGGCTCGTTCTGAAAATGTTGGGCAGCTCCGGGAGTCAACACCCGAACACGCGTCACAAGGTGCCGATAGTGGAGCTGCTCCCTGAGAAGTGGCACTCGGACTACGTGCGGGCTTGTGGAGGCCACTGACGCTCAAGTAAAGAGACGGAAAAGCGGACAAGCACACTGCAACCGCTGAGGCGGTGAGCGAGGGGACCAGACCCGGATCAACGATCTGGGCCCCTACAGGCGGTCTTGCAGAGTTGTTCTTTACCCTTGCTCGGCGTGTTTCTCATTGCCCTTTCTGCTGCCAGCAGGCCTCATATTCCGAAAGTCTGAGACTCGCCGGAAAATGCTTTGGGCTGCCTTCAACATGTGAGCAGCTCGCGTTTGCATTGCACAGCCGTTGCTCTTTCATCCTCGCTCGTTCGCTGGAAGCCTGCTACCACCTGGCAGACGAGTCAAGCAGATAGCTCAAGAGATTCGGGTGTTAAGATGGTTTCGATGCAGCATCGTGGCATAGCACCTGTGGCCTCGCACATAAGCCATATGGAGCACTATAGCGAAGCATTGAAGCGGCACGAGGCAATAGAGTGGTCCTGGTGTGAAGCTTCTCGATGAAGTGAGTTTGTTAAAGGAAGATCCGGCAGTTGAACAGGATTGATTTATTTAATTTCGCCTAAAGGAGGTCGTGCGCTTTCGACGCCATGGAAGCGCTTTCCTGTAGAGCCTGCCCAAGCGATCCAAGTGGTCCACGCCTTCGCGGTCTTCGTGCCCCAAGAGCCTCAAGCGACCTGAGGAGGGCTGTGGACTCAGTAGCCTGTGGCCGGGGTCAACGCTCTCGTCGCTGGATGCAGTGGCAGTGGCCGCTGGCCGTGATGCTACTGCCAGAAGCTGCCGTGGGGCAGGCTCCCGGCAAGGCCTGCCAATGCGACTTTGCAGACAACAACTGGATCCACGAGATAACTTCCATGCTGCAGCATGTCGAAGACCTTCCCAACGTCTTGCAGAACCCTGAGGCCTCGTCTACAAAGTGGATCCTCAGTCAGTCATGCGAGGAAGATGCTTCCAAGTTTCCGAATACGGATTTGGCATTTGACCTTCAAAACCAGGAAGTCAAGTGCTTGCCAGAGCACACAGGTATGTCAATGGTCTGTGCACAGCAATGGATAGCCAAGAAGTCATTGATGGGAGTTGTCAAGTGGGTAACGAGGATCAATGAGCTTTTGCAGCTTGTGGCAGGCTGCATGGATGCTCATAGCCCCATTCCCTTCCGTGCCAACGATTTCCAGACCTACTTGGAACGATTTGCTGGCGGCGTGCCTCCCCCCCAGCATCCGTCCTTCGTTCAGACACTCGCGTGGCCAACGAAGGCAAGCAGGAAAACAGCATCTGAGACGAAGCTCCCTTTCCTGGACTGCATCCCATTGAAAGACCCTACGTGCTTCCCAAAGCATACCTCCAATCCATTTGAGAGCTGCTCCGAATGCTGCAACCGGAATCGTGGCCCCACGGGTCAGGTTCAGTGTTGGCAGTCGGGCTTCGACTTCGCTCGGTGCTGTGCCTCGGAGGCCGCAGAGGGCTCCGAGGCTGCCAGCTGCCCAAACCCGGACGCAGCCCTGCAGAAGAGCCTGGAAGAGGAGAGGCTGAAGAAGCAAGAGATCTCGAAGGAGCTTGCGCAGTGCCAGACACACCAAGAGGAGGCAAAAGCCCAAAAGCATGAGGCAGAGAAGGCGACAGACCTGGCAAAGACTCAGGCCGAAGCGATGAAGTCGGAGACCGCCAAACTCAAGGAGACGGCGGAGGCAGGCCTGCACTGTGTTTCAGGGCCCCCCAGCACATGGCAGTAGTCGGCACATGACCTCAGGCGGCTGCTGCAGAAGTCGAAGATCTGAAGAAGAAGCTTGCCGAAGCGGGTGCAAAAGCGAAGGAGCTCATGGAGGAGGTGAAGAAGCTGCAAAGCGCTGCTTCCTCGGCAGAGGACCTGAAAAAGCTGCAGGCCCAGCTAAAGGAGGCAGAAGCAAAACGGCAGCAAGAAACCAAGAAGCTCCAAGACCAGTGCAACGAACAGGTTGCACAGATGAACAAAAAGAAGGACCGGTACTGCAAGCTGAGACTGTCAGCATCGCTAGCTACTGGCTTTTCAGTGATTTCCAAGCTGCCTTTGACGTGTGCATGTTCAGCTGCACTTAACACAAGAGATGCCTTTGTTTGGTGGGCATTGTGCAGGATGCAGAGATTCAGAAGATGCAGTCTGAGCTCAAGGAGGCTCCGGCTTTAAGGAGTGCATGTCCGGGAGGGAGCGGTTCTAGGCCAGCAGAGCGGTGAGAACATAGATTCACATAGATGCACGGAGGCTGGCCAAGCCAAGCAGCTTCAGTCGGATCTTCAGAAAGTTAAGACGGATCTAGCAAAGGCCAACGAGATGCTCGGCTTGGTAAAGAGGAAGGGGGCCCAGCGTCGGGGAGCGTTTTCTGACGTTCCGAGGAAGTCCAAGCAGGATGCCAGTGAAATCCAAAAGCTTCGGGCAGAGTTGGAGAAGAGCAAGGGCGACAAGGGCGACAAGGGCCAGGCCAACAAGGAGCTGGAAAAGCTGCGGAGCGACGTTGCCACGGTCCCTCGTTCACAAGTAGTTCTGCTTCTTCATTGGACAGCCGAAGTTGAGCAGTTTTCTCGCTAGGGTTTCCTTTTTTTGGTGTACAGTAAGGCAAACGGCAAAGCCAAGCAAGATGCTGCCACCATCCAGAAGCTTCAGAACGAGCTGGTGGCCCATAAACAGCAGTGCGATACGGAGAAGAAGAAGATCACTGGTGATGGGGCCAAAGTGGCCGCCGAGTGCCAAACAAAAAGCAAAGCCGCAGAGGCAGAGCTCCTCGGCTTCGGACCGCCGGGACCGCCGCGGGGAGGAGAGGAATCTTAAAGCAGTGTAAGCAGTGGTAAGGTAATGGTAAGTGTCGGCCGGCCGAAGCTGACCTTTGGGACCAAGGCTGCAGAAGCTGCAAGTCGAGATGAAGAAAAGGCAGCTAGGCCTACTTACCTGGTGATATTGTTAATTGTTAACCCGCTGTGTGACACGAGTAACTCATCGTTGCAATGACGGCGCCACGAGCTTCGGCTATACGTCCAGCTGGTAGAGGGGTCTTCAGCATGCTCAGGATTTTGCGATGCTACGCAGGTATTTGTCCTGGTATGCTCTCGTGCTTCCCGTGCTTGTCTGTCTTCGCGTGTTGAGTACACAATGTGTCCCCTGAAGACGCGAAACCGTGCCCTGCTTGATACTGTAGCCTCAAGGCAAACCGAGAAGGAGCTGTGCAGCCCGTTGTCTCGGACATCCGACGAGTTGCAGAAGGAGCTCAAAAGTCTTCTGGGCATGGGACCTGGACGTTGAAAGCCCAGGCACCCTCCGGGACTCAGACTGGACTGGCAGTTGCTGTGCTGTGCTGCCAGGTGTGCCAAAGCTGCGCAGACGGGCTGGTGGTGTTGAAGTAGTTAACAACGTCCCTTCTGCAGGGTCTTCAGAAGAGTCCGACCCTGCTGTGTCCCTAAATCGGGGCCTTTGTTTGCTGCACTGCTGCACTTATGTTCACCAAATTATTTATCTTCTCGCACCTGAACTCGACTCCTTGCGAGGTAGCAGCGAGGCAGATTTGGGTATGTCTCAACCTGTACCACCGACAGTGTCTTACAGTCACTTGCATGTGAGCATCCTTGAGTCGTTGCTTGCCATTGGACATGTGCATCCTTCGTTGTGAGACATAGCCGCTTCCGAATGTGTCGAATGACTTCAGCTCATGCTTACGTGCTGTAGATTCCCCAATGAGCTCCTTCGGTTGGTTCAGTTTGAAATAAGATCCAGCCGTCTGACTTTGCACTGGGACATCCAGCTCTTCGGGGAATCTCTGGACCTCCCAGCAGAAACATGCAAAAAGAGGCAGCGTCGCATCGATCGCGCCGGCGCACGAGACTGTTCTATCGGTGGTTCAGCCTTCCGCCGCCTTGCAGCTTCTCACTTATTGCTGGACATCTTGTAGACAGTTCTCTGGTGGGCAAGCGCAGTCCCAGAGTTCCGCAGAATGAGAAACCGTTTGCTTCCAGAGGCGAAGTCGTGAAGAGTCGGACCTTGTCCGAAAGTTGTCGGAGAGTTGCGCCAGCACATCACCGTTATCATTGGCCTGCAACAAACTGCTAGTTCAATAAAGCCGGAAGATGTAGCCATGGCGGGTTCGCGAGGCATCGCAGAAGAAAGACAAAATGGTCCTCGGACCCGCAGCAGCAGTCGTCGACGCAAGATCAAAGCAGAGTTAGAAGCCCGCGACCGGAACTCCAAGGAAGCATGGGAGCTTCAGCAAGAACTGCTGGCGGAGGGTGCGAGCTCTTCTTTGATGGAGGCTGCACGCCAGCTGTTGCAGACGGAACACTACCAAGCTGTTGTGGAGGAAAGGTCCTTGGATGGCCTTTGCGGCTATCCACCTTGCACCAGGCCCGCTCAAGCGTTGCCTGCAAACCAGCGATGGTCGGTAAGTTATGGTTCCAGGGAGGTGATTAGTGCCGAAGAGCTCCGGAAGTACTGCGGCCCGGACTGCAGAAGGGCGAGCTCCAGGTTCTGCACCAGCTTGCAGCCCGATCCTCTGTATATTCGGCCGGATTCTGCTGTGTTGCGCGCGAAGCAGGCGATTGCTGGACGACAGGCACAGGCAGAACAGTCAGAGGCAGAGATCAGCGCAGAGCCGAAGGAGACGAAAGTTAGAGGAACACCGGAGGAGGAGGCGCTGCCAAAGGTGCGCCCTCGAGCAGTCGTCCGATTCTCTCGAGAGAAGCAAGTTTACACTGTCCACTACCACGAGTACGACGGTGGCGGTGCACTGCCAGATGTGCCCCCCATCAAGGACGAACCCCTCGATCCCGGCCGAGGTCGAATGCGAGCGTTGGTGCGGGAAAGGCCAATGGCCGACGACGTCGCCGAGCAGGAAGCCAGACCGCCCGAGGAGCTGAAAGAGCCGAGCTCTGATCCGGACGACGACGCCGCTCGTGATGGCAGTGCGGCTGCCTCAGCGTCGGGAACCTTTACACTCTCCTCCGTACGAAAGACTTGCAAGGATGGGGATGACGACTTCTACGATCCAGATGCCTTAGCCTTAGCCACTGCAGCAAGACATGTGGTGTGAGCCGGCCATGCTTGCACTGCAGGCTTTCGGGGCAGTTTTGGAAATTCGTCTGAGGTGAAGCTGGATGGCAAGCCTGCGCCCAATGGCACACCGCATCATGCTCGGACTGAATTGAATGCCAGAAAGACTGCAAGTGAGGTCGGAGCTTGCATGGGTCAGAGCATGGGGAGCCTGGGACCCGGGTGTTCTTTACCTCCAGTGCGCATGACCCATCGCAGAGTCCACGCCTCGCATCCGATTCCGAGATCCTCAGTGCTTGGCTGAGTGAGCCGGCCAGGGCCCTGCTGGCAGGCCGGGGCCCGGTAAGGGGCACTTCGTGGCAAAAATCGCCGCGCAACAAGCGCCGCGTCTTGCCAGGAGTGCGAGAGGATGGGATACGGGAGGAAAGGCGGCCTGGACACAAGGCCGAGCCGCATCTGCTTTCTCGAGTGCAATGGCATCCCGAGAGGGTCGGCGAGACCTCCTCATCGAGCTGCTGACCTCCCGACTCCCCGGGGACCGAGCGGAGTAGGGAATGCCGGAAGATGTTTTCAGCGATCGTCGCGTAAGACCTTTGCTTCGAGTGTGTCGATCTTCGTTTTTGCTACTGGAGACGGGGGCACTCCGCTTGGCAGGAGCTGTCCTTTCTTGCAGGGCGCTTGTACGAGCTTGTCCGAGACTAAGGCCTAAAACCTCAGAGATCCTACCAGACTACCAGAAAGTGTGTATTTTCGAAACAGCTCGGCCGCCTCGGCCCAGGCCTCCGCTTTGTCTGTCCACCAGACCTTGCCTTCCGTGACCGAGCACCGGCTCTACGACCTGCTTGCAGCGACTTGCAATGAAAGAGACTTCAACCGTGTGCCAGTGTACCGCACAAGTCCTGGACTGAAATCAGCCTCGCATCCGTCAACCATGATGTAGTAGCGTTCTCAGGCCATCTTAATTCGACGGCTCTACGAGAGCGATGCTGCAGCAGGCACGACCTGCAACTTGCATGAGAGTAGACAGAAAAGAGCGGCAGTCTGCTCCCGCCAGCATGCTGCATGCTGCGAAGACAAAGATACTCTCTTTGCGCTTTTGTCGGTGGTTGTCTGCTGCACCTGAGATTAACGAACTATTGATTATATCAGCTCCAGTCGCAGCTCGCCGCAATCGCAGGAACGCAGCCGGACAGCTACGTCCGGAAAAGGTTGAATCACCAAGTGGAGGTGACTCTGTCGCGGCTTGCACAGCGTCGATTCCCTGTCCGCACAGTCGCAGCATCCGTTGTGGCAATCCAAGTGCAGGAAGCTGCGAAAGCGTTCGGCATCAGTGGAAAGGAATCAGCATCGTCCATCATCTTAGTTACCCTCAGCCTGTCGCACTCCTTGATAAGTGCGTTCGACAGGAGCTCCATGTGCTGCAGCAGCTGGTGCAAGGAGAGGCTGCCCGGTGACGAAAAGGCGTATCTTGAGAAGTTTCGCGATGCCACATGAAGACATCGTTGGATGTATCTTGCTCACTTCTTGGCATCTTCGGAGATCGAAACCAGGTTATGTCGCATGCCGTATGTTGTATCATTGAATCTAACTTTCGAGCTACGAGCTTTCCCGGCGGCTCAGCACTTATCTAATGAAGAGAGATATGCGGCCCAACTTGAAGCAAGTGTAAGATGTCCTTCAATATCATGACCAGTGTTTTGTTGTGTAGAACATTTCTAGACCAATTGTTTAAGCTGCTGCAAAGTTACGATGGCAGCACTTCGGGCGCTTCGAGGCCAGACTGCCGGGGCTGTCGCCGTACCGCGGCCTCCTTGCTTTGCCTGCTTTGTCTTGCAGGAACCAGGCAGCTTCAGGCTGCACTCTGCTTGAGCCAGCGCGGTGCAGGCCCGGGCAAAGCACGAAACCCTGGGAACCGCCGAGTTTCCGACTTGTCTTCACTTCGCTCGCGGGGTTTGGGCGGCACGGCCATCCTTTTGAGAGGTTTTCCACTTCCGCTCCCGGCTGCCGTCAGATGGCACAAGACAGGCTGGGACGGCTGGGACCCATTCTGAAGGAAAAACATCGCATGCATTGCTTCGTTTTGCTGAGTTGCTGCCGACGACGGTGCCGAGAAGATCAGCGCTGCCCTCAAGGGGCAGCGGGAGGGAGTGGTCCATCGCGACCCGCAGATGGGCCGAGTAATGCCAGTGTCATCTGAAGGCTTCCACTTCAAGCTCCGCGATGGCTCTCGGAAGACTGCCAGTGTCGAAGATGTTGACGGCCAAAGCACAGGCCACTCTGAAGCGTCTTCAAGCTGAGGTCTCGGTGCCATCAGGGGTCACAGTGCTGGAGGCTGCGCACATGAACGAGGCAGCCGGACTTTCGGAAGTCACCCGGAACCGGTGCTTTCGAATTTATGCGGAGGTGGACTTGGAGGGTGCTTGTGAAGCATCATTGGCTTGCTCCACCTGCCACGTCATCCTCAACACGGACCACGAAAGTGAGACCGACAGGGTTTCCACTTGCAGATGTAGTATGTCAGTCCAGGACACCTACGAAAGCTGCGGTGAGCCCACTGAGAAGGAAGAGGACACCGGACTGCTCCATCTGCTCCCAACCACAACCATGCCTGTGCATGAATTCCTTCGGAGGACTTGCTGGACCTTGCACCGTGTTTGACACCCACTTCGCGCCTCGCATGCCAGGCAGGGTGCCGAAGGATGCCTAAGGCGAGGCAAGGGAGTGCCAATTCAAAGCGACACTTGACAGGTGGTCGTCGACGAGAAGCTACGGGACCACACGGTGACCCTGCCGGCCATGACCTTGAATTTCTATGCCGGAACCCGAGCCGCGTTCCCGAGCTGTCCGTAGATGCGTTCAGAAACTGATTGCAGGTAGATGGCCATGTTCCGACGCCTCACTGAGAGCATTATCGACACGACTTCTGCAGTTTAGCCAGGGCAAGCATTTCCGAATGTTTTTCGGCTGTTAGCTGAATTGCTATACCCGGCCCTCATACCGCTGCCAGCGCTGCAAAAAGGACCGATTTCCATTGAATCTTCGTCGTTGGAGTTTTCCCCTCTGAGACGGTAGGGATGAGTCAGTTGCCCTCCGAGCATCTGCCGCCTTTGCATCTTCCAGCTCGGCGGCTAATCTATCTGTTGTACACAGGAAGGCCGAACCTGTATGAGTAGCCGTAACCTAAGCCTGGTGCTGTGAGATGCTGGGTAAGTAGAAGGTGATTTCTGCAATGGACTTTGCATTCGCGAGCCGGGATGCAGCGACTGATGCAGTTGCCAGCAGGCCATCACCTTTCCAGCTTCAAAGCAGCCTTTCTCGTTCTTGTCAATATTCGGGAAGTTCATGGAGAGGTACGAGTACCGAACGGAGCAAAAATCAGATGCCTTGTACAAACTTGCAAGAGCTGAAACCGATTGCATGTCAGGCCAGCGCGGGCTTCACTGCCTGCAGTCGCGTGGCATGAGCATCATGGTGGGGGCAGCTGACGTTGCAGCGTTTGGAGCAGGCAACTCTCAATGGACTGCAGGAGCGCTATCGAAAAGTCCGGCCCGTTCCCGAACGGCCAGCCCAGCCCTGGGCGTTGCTGGCGCGCATTGGCTCGGCCACCAGTACCCGTACTGGCTCTTGCATTTCACAGCCAGGCACGGCCACCAGAAACGGAAGCGGAACCCAGTGTTGCAGCTGAGGATCAGGACGTCTTCCAGCTTTGTGTGGCAGTTGTCTAGCCGTGGTATCCAATAACACAACGCAATCTCGGGCTGCTGCACTATGGTCCACAGCTGTTAAATCAAATTAAGACAAATCACGAGCGTAATTAACACAGACACGAACATCACGAGCAATACCGGTACCGAGCCTTCGTTTACCTAACGCGACAGTCCGGCAGCTGCATTGGCTGGCATCATGGCCTGGCGTGCGGCGTTTCTTTGGTTTTCTCTGGATCGAGCAGCCGCTTTCGACTTCGACGCAGATCTGACACATGGGCAGCAGACAGCGCATTCTTTTGCTGGGCTGTTTTCACACTTTGAGCTGCCCTGTCTTCATTGTCAGGAAACAGGATTTGACAAAATGGTGGGGCAAGGCTGCTCGCGTGCGTGCACTTGTATGCGATTTCTGAGCATCTGACAGTCTCAAGAGACAAGAAAGTTGCCATGTCGGCCTGGAGCTATTGCTCCAGAATGCTGGGCTAGGCTGATAGTCTCTTCGGACTTCGGAGTAAGTAGGAAGTCATGTGCTCCATGACCTCCCACGACTGTCTCATCATTGTCTCGCCAGGTGGCTTTCGAACGTGCCGTCCAAAACGCACACCATGATGTTCATCTTGCAGGCGCACATGTGCCGACTCGGGCTTGGGCGGCAAAGCATACAAACCCCGAAGCGCCTAGACCTGAATCCCACGCAAAACCCCTTAACCCTTACCCTCCAAACCCTGAACCCTGAATAACCCGCACAACCCTAAAGCCGCAAAAACAGCACTAAACCCTGAACCCCAACCTAAAGCTTGGACTTCTTGCTTTCTCAATCTTGGACACATGCGATGTTTGAGAGGATACACTCTCTGCAGCCCTGCTGCGCAGCATGCCGAGAACACCTTGCGCAAGCTGCTGCGCCGCCACCAATCAGGACGGCACGGGTGCCGGGCTCGTGTACATTGAAAGGGGCCGCCAGCGTTTACCGCATGTAGCTGCCGTTGCCGAGATGTTCATGGCTGTTTTCACATCCCTGAGATTACTTGTTCACATCGTCCGATCATAGAAGCCAGATTCACAGAGCCCGCGATCTGAAGCATTGGATTGGCTTGTCCTTTGCTTCTGGGCCGAGTGCAGGTGGTGCCTGCTCTGAGTTGCCGGTGCAGATCGCCCAGCATGCTTGGCGGTACAAAGAGGACCGGTCCAGGACATGCCAAGCTGCGTAGGAGCATGGCCTTTGTCCAGGAAGAGCTCAGCCGATGCCTGGACCTGGCGCCTGGCGGAAGTTGCATCATGGCCTGCCAGGCAGAGATTTTGCTAATCCAGAGTCAAGTTTCGTCATTGGGGTGACACCTCTGCGGGCCACAGGATTTTCCTGGCCTTCAAGCAGCCTTGAAGTGCGATGGAGCCAACCTTACAGGCCAATACGACGAGGCTGAAATGTAACAGTCAGCTCGCTACGATTTCGTGAGCCAGGCATTCCACCGCCGGGTGACTGTAGACACCAGGCTCGGAGCTTCGATGAGCTTCGATTCGATCGATCCTCCAGCTTCCGGCTGCCAGTTTGACCCGGACATTGTGCACGCACCGAGTGGATCATTGAGGGGCCTCCTTCGCCGGGTCCCACTGAAATGGCCATCTGGCGAGGCCACGAGCTGTTAAGATGCACTTCTGCAGTCTCGGTGGCGTTGAAGGCTGTTCCTGCTGCAGGAAACATCATCGCTGGTGCGCACATTCTGGGGGATTCCCTATGGTGACTTGGCGGCTTGCTGACCAGGATGGCATTTTGTCACGCGGCTCCTGGAACTGAGCAGCTGAGGTGAAGAGCCAGTGCGGTTTCAGGCCGCAAAAGCAAAGGCGAAGTGGACGGGGGTGAGGACTTCCGCCGAAGCTTCGCTGAACAGCCGCCCAAGCCATCTTGTCAGTGTCGAAAAGGGCAGCAGGGCCAGCAGTGCTAGCAGTCTCCCAGACTCCAGAGCCGAGGACTTCTATGTCGAGTTACCCGGTTTGAGTGGTGGGCTACGCTGGTGGCTTCTGATGGTGCATGAAGTACAGCATTCCGCTAACATCCGAGGCAGCCGGTGCTTTGTCCGAACCTACCTCCGCTGGGAAGGGGAGGTGAAGTCCGAGAGGACATGTCCTGAAAGCACTCTTTGCATGTCACTGTAGGACTGTAGGTGCACCGGCTGATTTCTTGCAGGACTGCTTGCAACTGCACGTGTATGCACCGCAGGCACCTGCCGGGACCCGAAACACCATGCAGGCAATGCAGGTCGCAGCTACATGTCCAGTTGCCTGCGCTTGTACGCTGAGGCGCCCAAGACCAGACCGGTCTTTATTTTCCTGATTCCAGGCAGGGATTTGTTTTTTTTGCTAGGGCTACCACTGTCTGATCTCAACTGCCAGGAGGCTTTATCGGAACCGACTTTTTCCAAAAGGGCTGGTACGATGCGGCCCGTTTTGCTGCCGCCTCCTTAGTTCTGTAGGTCTTCTCAGCCTGTGGGTGCACATAATTTGACCGTTGACACTGGCAGTGTCAGGTCCGAAACGATGCAATTTTCATAAGCGTCGGTTACAGAAGTGGCTTTCTTGGCCACTGGGTGCACGAGCAGCTTGCCGAGGAGGAGCTCTTCCCGACATACCCTATGCACTTTTCTTAATAAAGGCAGTTGAAGCCTTAAAAGATAGGCAGGTACTGTGCCATACAGAATATAGCCGAAATCCAAGAACTCATAGATATAACACACCACGACAGAAAGTATCAATACTCCCCGACATACCTTATGCACTTTTCTAAATAAAAGCAGTTGAATGAAGCCTTGAAAAGATAGTCAAATACCATACCGAATATATCCGAAATCCTCAAACCGCTCTGTGCATTCGGGGTCTCGATGCCCTCGTGCGCTACGCTTTGTTGTGAGGATCCCGATGGGAGCACCGGCAATTACGAAGCATTAGACCAGAGGCGTTGCCACAGCTGCCTGTGGGGGACTCTCTTGTGCTACGGCTCGTTGCTAACGGGGCTCACCATGGAGTGATTGCCTTCCAAGTTACAAGTGGGTCAGAGGGGTACTCGTGTCGCAGGCTGGCGCTGCAATGGCTCCTCAGACAGAAGACATAAAAGGGGTTGTCGCTCTGAATGAACCGTCGGCGATCGTGGCTACATAGATGCGAATTGAGGGTGCAGAAGAACATCAAGAGCTTCGGCGGTGATCCAGGCACTGCGAATGCTGTTCTTGAGGGCCGGAAAGCATGTTTTGTGAAGAAATGATGTGCGCATTGCGCCCAGGCCGGGTTACCTTGGCGGGCCATTCCTCCGGGGCCTTCTCCGTCAATTTCCACCTGCTGAGCCCGGGCAGCCGCGGTCTCTTTGCTCACGGCATCCTGGAAGGAACGGCACTGGAGTCATGGCAGGGACTAAAAACACCTTTTGGGTGTTTTTTGGTTCTTTGCATGCAGACTGTTGTACTGCGTGCTTAGGACAGCGGATGGTATTACAGCACCAAGGACGCAGCATACACCACAACTTCGGTGCTGGTAGGCATCTCCTGCTTTTGTCCCCGTCGCCAGTCGTGACATCCGCCGCCTTACCTCCAGGAGGATGGCCTCAGATTCTATGCCACGCTGGCCGAGCAGCTTGGCTGCTCCGGCGCGGACCAGATCCGGTGCTTGCGGGCTTTGCCAGTGGACAGCTTCTACAACTTCTCCAACGTCACGTACCACGAGGCCCGTCGGCTTCGGTTCGGGAAGAGCTTTTGAGTAGCTTGCGATGCTGTGCGGTGCCAGGAGCTGGGGAAGATCAGGGGCCTTGGCAAATGGGGCCTGGCCAAGGGCCTCGCCGGGGCGGCATGGTCCGCCTTGGGCTTCGAGGCACAGGTCGTGCGGGCCGCACATGCTGATGCTCTCTTTGTTGCCTGCAGGGCAGCTTCCGCTCCAAAGGCTTGCAGCTGGGTGCCGCTCGGCCGGTCCCAGAGAGAGAGAGAGAGCGAGACCATTTACTCCAGAAGCAATGCAGACACTCAAACTCCCTGTCGAAGTGATGTCCGTATGGAGTGTTGAACCCTGCAAGCACAATGCTATGGACAGTACCTCTTTACATAACCAGGGGGACACACACTGCGCACTTTTCACGCTCCTCCAAAAGCCCCACGAACATCTGGGGGGCCTTCAAGGCCGAGGGGCTTCAGACACCCCTCATGCCGCGGGGAAGAAGGCCAGACAAGGACTTTGCGAGGAAGGAGCGCTGAAACATCGGGAACTGCTCCTTGAGTCAGGAACTGTGCATCGAAACCTGCGCGCATCTGAAACTGCACATCGGTTTTCCGACACTGCGCAGCATTGGAGATCGGCAAGCATCGTCGAAGCCCGAGCAGGGGAAATCCGATGACAACATCTATGCTCGCAGTGCATCCAGAAACAAGAGCATCCATGCCCGGACGATGATGGCGTCCATGCCACCCGTGCATCCATAACCAACATCATCCGTGTTCACATGACCACAACGTCCATGGTGCCAGTGCATCCACTCCCCGGAGCATCCATTCTCGAACGACGACAACGCTCATGAATCACACATTCTGTGCTTCCTGAATCACGCGTCGAGTCAGCCGCGTGGTTTCCGAAGCAGCAGTTCTTGTTACCTGAATATCGGTCGACCTGCAAGGGAGTTATTCTTGCTCCAAGGATGTGCCCATCCTTGCTGGGCCTCTGTGGCCGGTTCTCGCTGTTGGCTCGGGCCCAAGATGGTGCAGAGTGTTGATGCCGATGTCTCGGTGATCTGTCGACCCAGCCGCTCCTTAGCAGTCGTCCAATATTAGATTCCCTTTTGCCGGAATGGGGCCGTGTGGCGCCTTCAACGCAAGTAGCTTGCAAGATCAACTCCTCTCAAGCTTCGAAATTAAATGCTGTCGGCGGCTGGACTCAAGCACTCAAGCTGCGCTGCTGGGTGATCTTACCTTGCCACGACACACCCAGGAACAGGGTTAGATTCGGTTAGATTAGATGATCAGATATGCACCCGTGCCTGTGAAAACTATGGAGGCTATGTCGTCGATGGATCGGAAGCTGGCTTGCCAGCCCCGCCTCGTCAGCTCTACGAGAGCGGCCGCGTCAACCCTGCCAAGGCAGAAATCTGCTGCCGCATTGCTCCAGTGCCAACGACGTGCTTTCCCGGCAGCTTGCAGCTTTCCCTGCAGACTGGCGTCCGCGACAGGTTTATCTCAACCACGGCACCGATGAAGGAACTGTCTTCGCCCTCATCATGTATGCAGCATACCCGTGGTACGAGGCGAATGCTGCTGCTTAGGGTAGCGACAATTGCGACTCGTCGGACTGACTTCCTCGCACCCTTCAGCGCAGTCCACTGTCTTTGTCTCGCAGTTTTTTGTCCATGTGTTTTTTCGTGCCTAGCACTGCTTGTCATGAGACCGTCGCGACTGGGTGCTCAGAGGCTCCTTCCCTCTCCCATGCAGCGACCGACGAAATCATGACCGAAGCACTGCTGACTGAGCAACCATGACGTTGGAGACCGCCAAAGTGGCCGCGTTTGTTTGCAGGACCTGGGCCTTCAATGCATCTGTTCCACAGCTCTACCCGTGTCCTGGCCTGTTTGGTCGAATCTGGCACCAGTCACCTGTAGGAGTGTCGTGCGCTTCCGCAACCTCAGGCATGGACGTGGAGATTCTGCACCGTTCTATCGCATGAGTAGGGTGCGTGCCGCAGTTGGACGACACGCCATGCGCCTCATGCTTCATAGATCCAAAGCATCGCTTGAGGCGATCGCCGACAGCACTTTTGTGTGCCCCCACCGGCGCTATGCAACTGCACTCTCGAAGCGGTGGCCCCAGCAAGGAGCTGCTCTGATGTGGTGAACGTTTGGGGCACGGTTGAACTCCAGGCTGATGCCGCAGTCAGTGTTCTATGCTGAGACTACCTTTGCTGGGGACGACATGCAAGACAGCAACTGGCTGTCAGCAGTCATTCACAGAGCCTTGGGCATTACTGCTGCTTCTGGCACCGCATCAGATGCCTGGTGCTCAACTCAACATGACTTGCCAAGACCAGGAGACTTGTCATACTTCGTCGGAGCTTGGCATATGAATCAGGCGACAGATGACGAGCTTCTCATAAGGTGTTGACTGACTACTCCAGAATCTGCAGGTGCTATGGATATTCGGTGTGAACGACACACTCAAAGTGTGCAACAGCCATTCGGCGGATCTGAAGCACTTGTGAAAGTTGAAAGGCGGATGAGTGCCGAGTGAGGGGGGTGGGCCATGCGTTTGACATTCAAGCTGAGGTACGAAGCCTACGAACCTCGGCTTCGATTATGCGTCATGGCGCTCAGAAGACGAGCTCATGCACCAACTGGTCAATTGCAACTATGTGCCTTGGTCTTAAGCCTGTTCACTCTGTGTCCTACACAGCGCTGCCGAGCCCAAGCTCGAGGCGCTCTTCGCGCACTGTGGCAGCCCTGACGCATCGAGCAACTCATCCTGCGCCCAAGACGTTCTCAAGCTTCACAGCTGCAGAAGCACCTATGGCCTACCCCACGGAGTCTCGGCAGCGATTCTGATGCTGAGGTGCACTGCGATGGGCATCATGCGCATGCGTCCTGAGGTGCGTTGACTCCAAGACCCTTTCCGCCCTTCGAGGAAGCCGAAGGGGGAGCGCGCTTCGCCATGACACCCTATGGGAAGCCCAAGCTCGTTAGCCCCAGCGCGGAGGCCAGGTTGGCAAGAGAACGCCCCCTCACTGTTTCAAGCATCTTTATACCGTTGGGCGTTTTATTGGTGCAGCCTGTGAACAGGAGGAGCGGGTGTGTGCCTGGTGGGACGATGCGGCACCTACGCATTTTATCACCTCAGCTTGTCGCGGATGTGCAGCCCAGCACGTCAAGGACAGGGTAGTGGGGACTTTCGTGGATAGGCGCAAAGAGTCCTGAAGAAAACATGCCGCCGCAGCGGCTGACAGTCAACTCTACAAAGACGACCGAATAAGAGGACCCAGAATGTTGCTCGGCCATGTGCCTGCCAGGAGGAAGTGCCCGAACTTTTCGTGTGAGCCAAGCTGGTGCCGGTGCTCAGGTGTGCGAGCAATCAAGAATTAGGTTCAGGATGGTGAGACTCGGCTGATCGTGACTCTCGGATCCCTCTACATATTCGACGCACAGCATGATGACTCGCAGTCTGTGGTGACATGTGGTGACCCAGTCCGGACATCCAGTTGACAAGTCATCATGCTAGCTGTGTCCCAGCAGTTGGAACAGAACGGTGCGAGGCAGAGCGTGGGAGTGGGTCCCTAAAAGGGCGCACCTAATGGTGAAGCCAGGGAGCCGCCGCTCGCCCACTGCTGAAAATCTAACCGTCATTGGCCGAGTCGCATCTAAGCGAATCCTCCTAAGCCAGTGCTGCAAGGAGTTTGTGTCTTGTTTACTGCACGGGCGGACGGAGCTTTCTTAGCAGCAGGCTGTAGGCGATGGACTCGGCCGTTTGACTCATGTACAGGCCCAAGCTGGCGTCAAGTGGTTGACATTTCTCCGACACCTGCTCGGCTGCTAGGGCTGGCAGTGAGGGGAACCGTCCCGCAACGGGAGCAACGCTCGTGGGTAGACGGGATGCTGGAAGTGGAGTCTCTGTCCTGTGCGTTGGCTCCTGGACAACGAGCAGTCTGCCCAGTGCAACTGAAGCATGGTATTGCAGTCGGCATTGTCTTGCTGAGCGGATGTTATCTGCGCTTAGAGGAGGTAGCGAAGCTTCTTCAACCTAGACGTCCCTTGACGTACGTGCCTAGCTTGGTGCCACACCGGACCACACCTTTGTCTCCTTTCCCTTTGCCTGAGGTCCGAGCCGCCGTTCCCTCCGAGGCTCAGTTTCGGACCTGGGATCCCCCAGCTCGGAGCCCAGATAGCCCAGCCCCGTGGCCCAGCGCCGAAATGAGTCGTGGCAGGTGCAGCCGGCAGAGCCGCGCTTGCTCCGTGTAGGACTGCAGCATGAGCCCGGCAGTGCCAGAGACCATCAGTGACGCCTGTGAGCCCCTGGTGGCAAGGATTGATTGGCCCACCAAATGCCCTGCTCTCACTGCGAGACCAGGCAGGCCCCCAGTCGTCGCTGACCAGTCTCCAAGGCCGGAAAGTCCTCGCTCATGAACATCATTCTGGACAGCTTCCCACTTAGATCTCCCTTGCCATCATGCCGAGCTCTCATGAGTCGCTTAGATCCAATCAGCGCCGTGTCGCCAAAGGCAGCCGGTACTTGAGTGCATGTTGTAAGAGATGTGCTTTTGACCATGCTGGAGCCTTCGAAAGTCCATTTGGCAGGTGAATACGACGCGTGAGAATGTCCGTGGCGTGAAGACGATCGGCCACACCCAGCTAGTCTTCCTGGACGTGCCCGGGACACCTGGGTGGCTACCGGGTATGCTTTGGCCCGAGGTTTGCAGGCTTGGATACATGTAGGACTTGATTGGCGCAGTGGCCGCCAACCACGAGACCAGGCGCCCAGACTTAGGGCGAAACCAAGTGCCACTGGTAACAGTTGCAGCAGAAGTACAAATCACATGGCTGGGCCGAGAGATTCGTTCCTTCGCAGTCTTGTAGCCTTCCCGCAGAAAATGCACATTCTGAAGAGTTTTAGTCTTAGTGGAGTCCTGGACCCTCTCTGGCAGAGGGCGAAAAGTCGAAGTGCGCGACGCTAGGTTTTCGCCGGCACAAAGCTCGATTTCGCTGTTGAGCACATCAATTCGCCTGATTCAGCCACATCGGCGCAGTATCCTCATAAAGGAACTGTCCCGGGGCCAGGCCGCGTGTACTTCTGTACTTTTCGTATGCAGCTTGCGCTACGCTGCCCGAACCTCTCTAGTGAATATAGTACATGCACGCATCTGCCTTGTTTGCCGTGTTTGCAGCTCGCATGATCTCGCATGGTTGTTGCTCGGCAGCTTTGCTGAGGGTTGCCTGACAGGTCCCTTCCGCATGCGCGCCTCGGGTTCAGTGTGTTTGTAGGAACGTTATTACCCTCCCCGTGCGCCCCCGCAGAGCGTCCACATAAATTGAAATAGTCTCAGCGCCGCGAAGGATCATTCCATCCCATGAGAAGCTGGCCAACCGTGAGCTTGTTGCACAAGCCGCTTGGATTCCCATTGTGAGGCACTTGTGAGGCACTTCCATGGCGCATGTTAAGTGAGTCTCTTCGTTTGCCCTGCTGAGGCATGGCAGGGATACCAGGAGTGCGACGTCTGCCTGCTGGTTATCGATGTAGTCGGGGACTTTCGCTACATCCGCAACAACACACAGCTGCTGCAGTAGTGGCTCATGGTTCTCATTATCTATTGCGATGGTTGAGCATTGTGTCATACCGTTGCGAAACCTTGCTCGGCAGTTCAGCAAACGTAAGGGTCGGAGCCTTGAAGCATGCAGAACATTGCCCCTACGGTGCCGTCGCAGTGTCCCTGCAGAAACCCACACTATGTCACATTGCTGCCTCCGAGTAGCAGAACTACGGAGTCTAGCTACTAGGTTCACTAGATCCAGACGCAGTGTGTGCGAGCAAGTGCAACGTCAGAGCACTGCTGACCAAGAACCTAGATGAGAAACCATGTAGTTTTGCAGCGCAAGTGTTCGTGGCATGCGGTTCTTCTGAAGGGGGGTCGAAGAAGGTGAAGAGACCGAATTCCGAAATCTTCGATGTGGTCCGCAAGATCTGTCCCAAAGAGGACATTGGAGAGGCCACGGAAGGGCAACAGTCCTGCGGAAGGGAAACAGCGAGGGCATGGTTCCATGGAGTCTGCCGCAGGCCGGGTTGCGACGCCGCATGAGATCCTTGATGGAGGCAGCAAAATGCTGCAGCTCTGTAGAACCAGAGACGCCTCAGGGAGGGAGAGCTGTGAGGTGAACTCGGAGGGCGAGCGCGAGCTTCCCTTGGAGGCCTACAAGCTGCTGCCGACGGAAGCCCAGTTCGATGGCTGGCCCACCTCCGCAAATGCACTCTGCTCCGCTCCGCTGTGCTCCGCTGTGCTCCACGTCGAGGCCGCGGTCGCTTCCGGGATTCACTGGGAATTCCCTGGCATCTCGGGCTCAGGCGCAGCTGCAGACGAGCTGACGTCGTAGACCTCCTCTCTTGATTCTGCTTAGGACAGACCCCCTGTGACACTGGTGCTCAACAAAGTCGACAAAGCTTCGGAGATGCGTTGGGCCTCGTTCCCAGTGGCGGCACTTACATCATCATATGTGCTGCCGCCGGGGTAAAATCTCGTCACTGCAGCGCTTTCTTGCCAGGTCATGTCTAGGGATCGGGAGTTCCGAACACACGGCGGGCCATATTCTGCTCAGCTGGGGTTAGCCCAGCAGCCCATCGTGAGAGGCCAGTTCGATGGCATCTTTTACACCTCCGCCCTGAAAGCGAATGGGATTGACCTTGGCTCAGTGGCTCCTCTCATGTCGTGACCGGCCGCGTCCTGGGATTTCTCAGGTGACTCTCTTGGAGCATTTGAAGACCAGAGCAAAGCCAAGGCCGGGAACACGGGAGCCGACGAGCACGAGAGCCAGGAGAGCCGAAACGCCTGGAGGCCGTGGCTCTATCCGGCCGAGATGATTACGACCATGTCTCACACGGAGCAAGTCAAGCATCTCGGCTGCCACCTGATCACGTAGCCTTTGCAGCGTCCAGGGGCCTATAGGGGAGCTCAGGCAAGTTGTGAACACTCACATCTTCAAAAGGCGAGTGTTTGTCACTCATGCCCACACCCCGAGCTCACACAGAGCAGGTTTAACTCCGACGTCCCGTACAAAATCGAGCAGCAGACGGTCGGTCGGCTCCTTTATGAGTTTGACTCTCCGCGTTTGCAGCAGTACAACCTGATGCAGCTCCATGGAAGGTTGGACCCCGCGCTTGGATGGGTCGTTGGTGATTGAGCACGAAGTTATAGCAGAAGGCTTACCGGGACCGTCTGGCTGGGATGCCCAGCCATCATGTGCTCTCACTGCCGGTAAGGTCAAAGACTCGGTGGTGGCGCGCATGATTCTGGGCGTGCGGAACAGCGTTCTGCACGACTTGAAGCAGCAGGCCGGCCGGCATGTGGTGGTATCATCAGGTCTTCGCCTTTTATCAGATTGCGGCTCAGGTGAGCGACACCTTGCAGCTGCTTTGGGGAATCCCCGTCGAAGCCCGCATCTGGGTGAGGCAGGAGGAGGTTCGGCCGGGAAGGGACTTAGCGCAGCCGCGGCAGCCGCGAGGCCTCTGAAGCAACGTCTGAGCAAAAGCGACTTGGCCCAGCTGGGCTACGAGCCGCGGAGCGAGCCGAAACGCGAGCCGCGGAGCGAGACGCCCGGGACGACCGGCGGGCCACGCGGGCCACGGAGCAGAGCTCAGCGAAGCGACCGAGAGAGAGAGGTCTGAGGTCGGCTGAAAGCGAGCGAAGGCTAGTGGAGCTGAGGCCGACGTGACGAAGGAGCGAGCGGATCCCAGTGGCGGGTCGGGTCCTAGCGTGTCTCCGGCGCCAAAAGGATCCGAGTGCGAGTGCATCCGAATCAATGAAAGTTCGTCATAGCCGTTGGGCATGTGGGTATGCTCCATGCTCGCGGGGCTCCAGAGCTTTTCCGGTGCTACAACCAAAACCATCCAAGACGCATTGCCTGCTAGTGCTGCTAGGGAATCTTTCTCAGCATGCAGGTCTCAACTTTTCTACTACACACAGCTTTAGACACAGAACGGCAGGGCTAAGGTTTTTGCCTGGGCGGGCATCAGAGCCAAACCGTAGCTAGCCAAAATACCGAAGCAGTCTGTTGAGTTGCAATGGCAGTGCGGGCAGTAGTTCAGACCATGCTGCCTGGTGCCGACTCGCCCAAGCTCTAGGGCTTCATGTGTTTCGTCCGCAATATTCAGCAATGCTTACGAAGATGTGGTGAGTGAGTAGGCAAGGGGTCGATACCGGATCCAGCACGCGACTTCAGGGACTTGCCGTCTCCTGGTGGGGATCCTGCAAGCTTTCAACTCAGCCAGTTTCGCGATGTGGAAAGGAGTGCCAAGGATGCTGAGGTGCGGGCTGAAGTGCTGTCCTGGGCTCAAGGGCCACCGCCGCTCATGTCGGACACCCACGGATGGCAACTCTCAAGCCGCTTGCAGGTACTAGGATGGCAACTAGCACGCACCCACCAACACACGCATGGCAAAACAGCCGGTGCTGTCGCACAACCGTAGCCGGGCCTACAGTACCATCAGCACCTCTGAATGTAAAGGTCATATAGCTTGCGTAGACAGCTACTCGAAGCTTGAAGTAGTCTGGATGATGCCTGGCACTTAGACTCTGCCTACTGCAGGCTCCCTGTTGCTGTCCAGGCCATAGAGTGCCTGCAGTGACTGCAGGCCTGCAGATGATGATGACGTCTTCTCGCCGGACGATATGGAAGCCTACGACCTGGATAAGCTCGCTGCAGCTGCTGCAGCTCGGGTTCAGGAGGGCGAAGTCGAAGGCGAGGTGGGACTCAAAGCACAAACTACTGCACGAAATGCTCTGAGCTGGGATGGTCAGGCATGGATGTGCCGGCAGAGCGGGAGGCGACGGATTTGGGCACCGGCTTGGAAGGCCCATCTCGCAGCACGCAACGACCCGTTGTACACTAGGTAGTTTCCCGCTCTCTCTCTCTTGTCGTTCTGAGGCTTCGCAGGAGAGGATCTTAGCAGAGGTCCAGGCTCCAAAGGGCCTTCCGAGAAGTTGAAAAGATGTTCGATGTCCAGAAAAGTTCCCAGGTGCGCAATTGGAGAGCCCTCTGGGCGTGGAGGAATTGGGCGAGACAGAAAGCCTTGACCCGGAGCATCTCAACGCAGAGAGCCCGAGCAACAATGCAGAGGATCGCTGCCGATCCTTCTAGATTTTCTGGCTCCTGGTCTGGCGCATTTTTCCAGCAGGAGTTCAATGTCGTTCTGCAGAAGCTTCCTGGGATGAGGCGCTTAGCCGTCGAAGGGCTGCTTCCGAGCCTTTTTCTTGTGATTGAAAGGTTGGGGATGGAGTGCGTGCGGCTGGCGGCCGCCCCAGCGGCCTCGGAGCTGTTGGAGAGCTTCCACCATGCTCGCATTGGCAGGAAGGCGAGGTTGTCGTGCAGAACGTCGCCGAAGGCGCTGAGCCGCCGATGTTACGACGACCGCCACGGTCCAAACACAGCTCTGCAGGCATGGTGGTGGGCGAATGGAATTCGAAGAACCCCGACAAAATCGTCAAGGCCTGCTCCGCATTGCGATTGTGCGACGAGTAAAGCCATCGTCAACTGCGTCTCGGACCTGTTGATGAATCCAGGTCGGCGACGTCGTGCGGGCTGTGAACCAGCTTAGCTTTGATCTTGGACGGCCTCCGTTCCGAGTGGAAATGAAGGGGACCGCACGCACAGTTTCCATGCTATCCACGCTAAAGCCGAGGTCCTCGAGATACCCAGACGATGCTTGCGGAGCTCAGGAACCGTGCTCAGTCACGAGTGGGCATTGAGATCCGCTGTTCTCCGGTGGAATGCGGACTCTTCGAGGAATGCCGTCGTCCTCAACCTTCGCTTCGAACGTGGCCCTAGGGACCTCTCCAAGGCGAAGGCCTTTCAAAAAAACTCTCTCTGTCTCGCTGTGTCTGCTTCTTGTCGGCTAGGCCGCTAGGCATTGGTAGCTGTGCACCCCACGGTGGCAACCGCGCCATGCGCCAGGAAGCCAACGAGGACCAGCCGTCACTCCTCAAGCCGCCGGCAGCCTCAGAGCGCAGCGGCGCAGACGCCGCAGACGCCCGCTGCCACACTAGTCGCTGAGTCGCAGCAGAGGTCCGGAGGGGACCTGATCCGGATGGCGCAGAGGAAGCTGATGGAGGCCACGTTGGACGACTCGTGCGCCACGTGAAGGCCGGGGGCTTTGGTGCACACACTGTCGTGTCTGCAGGAACAGAACCAGCAGCGAGCTCATGCGATGCAAGATGTCACCAGGCGGTGCATCAATCAGTCATGTGCGGCATTCTGAGCAGACTGTGCTTCTACAGCGCCTATGGCATCTTGCCTGCGAGGAGTGGTGCAACGGAGGCACTTCCCAAGCCAACATGGCAGGCCAGTTGATCTTCACTTTCTCAGGAGGGCGCGAGACTGTGTTAAATTCCTGGGAGTTCGTGAAGGCCGCGTCCGAGTGGACATTGGATGGCCGTGTCTGCGAAGACGCTTGAAGTCACTGGAGATGTGCTAGCCAGCATCATTCAATTCCCGCCACCTGCGCAGTGGGTTTTGGTGAGTCAAACTGCTGCGAGAGTCATCCAAGGAGGTGCCCTTTCTGTCGGTCTACGGCTACAAAGCAACGAACCTCGATTGCCTTTGCTGACTCACGTTGTGTGGATATCAGCCAGAAGCTCCGGTCTCCATTCGCAGATGTGGAGTTTATGCCGAGGGACAAGCACAAGTGGGACAAGGCTGGGCACACAGACACAGACTTCGTTTTGGACAGAAATGTTCTAGTGTATTACCAGCTAAAGCCTCTGCTGCGCTTACAATCAAAGTCCAGTTGATGTTTCCAAGGGGTCCCATACTGAGTGTTTCAATGCAGGCAGCTGGACCTGACCTCAGGAGCATCCCATGCCTTCCATACAGATGTCGGTCGAAGAGCACGTAGAGCAGGCACCTCTGTGCAATGCACTTCGAGCTTCCACAAGCCTCGCGCTCAAACGTGGATCTATCATCCTCGCACAGGCTGGAAACACCTGGTACCTTGTGCAGCCTAGCTCTCGGAGTGCAAGCGTCACGAGTGCATCATTGAAATGTTAGAACGTCGAGATCGGACAAGGTGCAGCCTTCGTTTCGTGCCTGGTGGTGAAGTGCCTGCCTCGCGTTGGGTCAACTCGGGGCCGGCCGTGGGAGCGTTGCTGAGGATGTCGCGGGGCCTGCAGAGCACTTGGAATGGAAGGCCAGAGCCAGAGCTCGGGGCCACAAGAGCCAAGCATGCCTAAGCCGTCGCTTTCATCTGCTATGCTTGACTGTAGCAAGAGCAAGTCTGCAGGTCTTAAGGGCATCTCATCTGCCCTGCTCGTTTGTGTGAAGGCACCTCGCAGACTTCATCACTTGCGAACTGATCTCCACGACCGAATGAAGTACTTCATGGAGGTAGTGGTGCTTCGCACTATTCTTTCCCAAGTTGTCAGCTTGATGCAGCCTCGTGCCAGGAGGATTTCTATGCCAAGGTTTTCGGAGAGACTCCCTTTGCAAGGCACCTCATGTGCTTAAGAGATCTTGAGAGCTCCTGCTGTTAGTTTGCATTGCGCTGTCGTCGTTTTCTGCCGACTTCATACCCCAACAGTGCTGCCGGAGAGCGAGATGCCAGACAATCTTTGCCGAAGCCTCCCGAGTTGCGGAGCACTAGCACAGCTGTCTGTGGCAAGGGGGTGTTTGCTTTGTTGTGCAGTGAGGGCCGGGAGAGTGGCAGGGGTGAAGATATAAGCTTGCTCCGAGCCATCTTGCAACAGAAGCTAGATGGTGAGTGTGTTCACCACCTGACCCTCCGAATCGAGCTGACTAGAGCTTGCAGCATCTCTAGTGACCAGCCCTGTGCTATCACAAAATGCGACTTCAAGAGCCTGTGAGAACAACAGCACCGCGGTACAACCAGGCACGGTGGACTTCCCGGCACCACAGCCCATGCCTCAGATGGTCACAGGGAGCGGAGGGAAGAGGGAGTTTCATCTTTCGAGGCGCGTCTTCGAGCCTGGTTGGAAAGGCTCGCCCACGCCATCAACCAGAAAGAGGCAGGAGGATCGGAGGATAAAGCGTCCCCGATATGCTTGGCTCCGCTGAAGTAGCAAGGTGCCGCCGGAGGCTGCTGCCCTGGTCCTCCTGTTTTTCCATGCCCCGTTGCGGCGCTCCTAGTGGGCTTAAGTGCATGCGGCGACATGGCCGAAGCCACACTCGAACGCCTGCATTCTCGAGGCCTTCTCACGTTGAGACTCCTCCGGCTTCGGTGGACGTGCAGCTCGTCTAATCGCTCTCGTTTCTAGAGCTCACAAGGAAGTTGAAGTTTCGTCATGTAATGTAGTACGCTCACCTGCTGCATACAGGGTGAGCAAGCATGTTACCGGAGCTGATTGGGGATTGACGGTTTGTAGAGCACAAGTACCGCACTCGCTGGACATTGGATGTGAGGGCAGGAGCAACTCTGCTCTGTTGGAGCTACAAGACTGCCCATCACCCTCAAAGCAAGACTGCAGAACGAAGAGGTCAAGACGGAGTTGTCTTAAGATGCTGATGCGGAAACTGCTGTTGCTGTTGAACAACGACGAGAACGGCTCCAAGTTCAGGCAGTGGGAGTTGATTCGGAGTTGATCAGCTCGAGTAACTTTCGATCAGCATTGGTCTGCGAATGCACGGTACGCATCGGTACGCGAACGGCTTTGCCGTCTTGTTGCGACACGTCTGGCGGACAGGCTTGTTCGACTGGACAGGGGTGGATGTGAAATGAACATGTTTTGATAGTGGTAAGGGTAGACATGTGCGACAGGCATGCTGCCCGCCAGCATAGAATGAACATAGAAAGGTGTCATGTTCTTTCGACAAAGTGACCAGCGGCCGCGTTTTCAGAACTTAAATCAGAGCGGAGGGAGAGATTTTGAGATGAAGCGAACGTGACACAACGGCCATCCCCTGCGACTTGTCAGAGCGGTGATTTTGGGGTGCACACTTGGGCTTCGCTGAGTTGCGCCGCGAGCATCCCAGGAAGCCTGCGAGACAAAGCGCTTTGGTCTTCACGGTCTGAAGTTCGAAGTCACCGGGATCATCTTCCGTCTTTGAGCAGCGTCCACGCGGACATCTGCCGCTCTTCAAAGCCTTGGGAGATGCTGAGAGTCCCGGAAGGGATTGGCGTCTTCCGAGGTGTCTAGGTTAACGCACCATCTCCATGGCAGGGGTCCTGCTGACAAAGCTGAAAGCAGCTTGGGTTTAAACGTAAGGAGCCGAACTGTCAAAGCTTTGCAAGTAGGCCCTCCGACTGCTCCCCGACTAGTGACTAGATGTGACTAGATGCCCTCCAAAGGAGGTTCCGCTCTGTGAGAAAAGCTCGCCGAGATCGCAGAAGTCAAGCTGTTGCTTCGCTGAATGACATACCATGCTTCACAGACTAGAATCTGGAAGTTCTGACGACCACCATCGCCACGGACGCAACAATAGCAGACCGAAGAAGACCGTAGCGTTGTTGCACGACCAATGCCGGATCACAGACGAGCTGCTTGATTGAAGCAGAGCGGCCGCGCTCTGCAGGTCCGAGCGTTAGTTCGCAGCTGGAGTCGCCATTGGGCTGGTGCCTCAGATGAGCACGAGCTCGAAACCTCGAGTCGCTTCTAACAGATGCACGGAGAGACCCGACTCCAGAAAGCAAAACAAATTCACAGATCTGTGAACAAGCTTCTTTCTGACAAAGCCTCCAGGTAGAGCAGGTTCCAATGTTACCGTGAAGGCCGACCAGCAGCGAGAGCGATGCCAGTAGATGGGGCAGGGGGAGGTGGAGCAGTTGGGTAGCAGATTGTTGGGGACGCCGCCAACAAAAGAAGCAAATCATATGGATCTAGCATCCGAAATGTTGAGGCTCTAGCCCAGAATCTAAGGAAGTCACTCTTGACGTTTCTGTGGCCTCCCTGTTTCTCCTGCAGTTAGTGACGAAATGAAAGACAAGACGACACTGTTCCTGTTGATCTAGTTGAATGCTGATTTTCCTGGGGGAGCGGAACAGAAAAATCTCGCCCGCAAAAGGGGAGAGTGGAGGTGTTCAGTTCGCCTCTATCAACTTCACCAGTCCGTACCGTGCCACGCAACTGGACGAACTTCGGGCGTGGTCTCACATCAACGGGCAAGGCAGAGTGGGCATGGCCTGGCGGTTATCTGCTGGTCCTGCTACAGACACAGAGACACACACACACACACACACTCACACTTTCGCACAGAGCCTTCGCAATGTGGCATGCACAGCTGCCCAAATTCCATTGTTTTTATAGCTTCCTACACACGATTTGGTTCCAGTCGCAGCTGGCTTTCACCACGTTGGAACATCACTCAGTTCATGCGATCTCAAAGCTCCTGGGCACCCTTGCTGTGAGTTCTAGCGTGCAGAAGTGTCACATTTTCGTGTTGATATTCGACATGCAAGGTCTCTGAATGTGGATGTCAGTTTATGTGCCGTTCGCGAGGCAAAGTTGCGAGATAGCTTTGGTAACGGTCGGAAGGCTCCAAGCATTGCGGACTTGGGCTGGCTGCTATGTTGGATAAGGCACTCCCCGTCGCTCCCCTTCTCATGCAGGCGCCCACAGTGTCCTTGCAACTGGCCTTGCAGTCCGCGGCTTTCTTCGCGGCTTTTCGTCGGCTGCAGGCGCTGCATCCCCTGCGGGGCTTCCTTCCAGCAGCCCTTCGGCAGCCGCCCTAACCTTACAGCCTTACAGGGGACTGCAGCTGTTGTTGTTGTTGCTGCTGCTGCGCTTCCTCCTCTTGAGCATGCCGCCGCATAGGAATTCAAGACACCAATGGCGTGGAGCATCCATCTCAGGGTGTCTTAACACAGGACGATCGCAGGTAGGCACAGGCAGGGTGCATGTTGGAAGGTTCGGCAGCTTCGCTGGATTTCGGCGGAGCTCCCGGCAGGGGTGCCCAGAGTCAGTGAGCGACTGGTGGTCCAGATCGCTGAAAGTTCAGGTCACGCAGGCGGATCGCCCCTTGCTGGCTACAAGGCTGCTAACTACGACACTTTCTGGGCTTGTCGCACCTTAAAACGAGCTTCAGAAGCCAGGAGCCGACAGAGAGCGAGCCGGCACCGAAGCTATCCTCCCAAAGTCCGGCGGATCAGTCGCTGCTGGCCCCGGGCAAGGCCCGAACGACAATTCAATTCCACACGGAGCTTCAGGCGGAAGACTTGGAATTGCAGGCAGACGGAGATGAATGGCGCGGCTGGACGATCCAGACGCAGGGAACTTGACTCGCGACAGGGGAGCGCAGCTTGAAGTCAGCTGCAGCATGTGTCAGCCTTTGAGGTCCTCTCAGGGGAAGCTGTTCTATCACCACACTGCATCCAACTCTTCTCAATGGCAGCTGCCTTGGCGACTTGATTAGGTCCTTGGCTTTGTCTGATGTACAGTCACACTGACACACTGATGGGTCTGCACAAGTAGCCGACCTGTCCGAAATCTTTTTTTCAAGGCCGGCGGTAAGAGCAATAGCCTGTCTTCCAGCGCACAGCCGTCGCAATGCCGCACGTCTTCAACTACGAGAAGGGCGAGTTCGAACAGATCCACTTCGACAAGGCCGTCAAGTGTGAGCTGTTGACAAGCCAGACATGTTCCTTGACACTGTGCATGAGAGGTGCCTCAGAGACCCTCCAGGCTGCATGGCAGGGGATATGCTTCCATCTTTGGTGGAGTTTAGACATAGGTTGTCTTAGGTGCTGGGGAGATTTTGTCCGGTGTTGACTTGTGTGGGACACCCATTTGCATTCGACATGTCTTACAACACTGTGCAGTGGCTGCAGAGATCCGAGTTCGCCCCGAGTGCTTAGACCACTTATTGTAGAGTGCTGTGAGTGCGGAGTGCATCAGCTAAGGGACGTGAAGAAGCGCCAGCGCGTCTCCGAGAGCATGAAGTTCCTGCTCGCGCAGGAGGCGACGCAGACCAAGAAGGAGGAGGCCATCGGCGCTGGGTTGCTGCTGAGCATTTCTACCTGTTCACATCGCCAGGCAAGGGCGAAGCGCAAGGAGGCCATGAAGGACTGAGCTGCCGGACGAAGATGCGAAGCCTGCACACTCTGACCCGCGATGCCTTGGAACGGAAGCGACGAAAGCCGTGCCAAAATCAGAGTCCACACTTCCGTTTAGCGGTTTATTTTTGCAGGGTTGGATGGTGTTCTTGGACGTCGCTTGAAGGACTCCAGTACTTTAGTACGCTGCAAGCGTATATTGGACTTGCTTTCCGAAACGTAGCGAACATTTCGATGGAGGATGACACACGACAAATCGTGCGTGGCTGCAGCCAATCCTGGCTGTTTCGTGGCTTGACCTTTTCCGAAATCTTTTTTTCAAGGCCGCCGGTAGGAGCAATAGCTTGTCTTCCAGCGCACAGCCGTCGCAATGCCGCACGTCTTCAACTACGAGAAGGGCGAGTTCGAACAGATCCACTTCGACAAGGCCGTCAAGTGTGAGCTGTTGACAAGCCAGACATGTTCCTTGACACTGTGCATGAGAGGTGCCTCAGAGACCCTCCAGGCTGCATGGCAGGGGATATGCTTCCATCTTTGGTGGAGTTTAGACATAGGTTGTCTTAGGTGCTGGGGAGATTTTGTCCGGTGTTGACTTGTGTGGGACACCCATTTGCATTCGACATGTCTCACAACACTGTGCAGTGGCTACAGAGATCCGAGTTCGCCCCGAGTGCTTAGACCACTTATTGTAGAGTGCTGTGAGTGCGGAGTGCATCAGCTAAGGGACGTGAAGAAGCGCCAGCGCGTCTCCGAGAGCATGAAGTTCCTGCTCGCGCAGGAGGCGACGCAGACCAAGAAGGAGGAGGCCATCGGTGCTGGGTTGCTGCTGAGCATTTCTACCTGTTCACATCGCCAGGCAAGGGCGAAGCGCAAGGAGGCCATGAAGGACTGAGCTGCCGGACGAAGATGCGAAGCCTGCACACTCTGACCCGCGATGCCTTGCAACGGAAGCGACGAAAGCCGTGCCAAAATCAGAGTCCATGCGCTTTTTGTGCTTCTGTGATATTCTTTCTGCACGGTCGGGTGATCCGGACTCTCGTGGCAGATATGACAGCTACTAGTACCAGTTGTTTGCATAAGGACTTCAGGGCAGATGAATCCAAGCTACTGGAAGTATCTTGCAATAAAGTTGGGCCGTAGTGGCTGAGCCTCAGAATCTAAGCTGCATGATCGTGATAGCTGAGGCAGATGCCTCGAGAGCTTGCACCAGTTCTGGGAGAGTGTCACCGGCCGTTTTCGCTGTGGGACGTGAAGAGTGTCTGTGTGGCGGAACCGCAATCACATGAGCAAGCCTGCATGGGTGTTGACAGGTGGACACAGGCCGCTTGGGCTGATTGGAGACCTGTGCAGCCAGATAAATGTTTCCTTTCACTCGCGCCCCTGCGGCCGTTCAGCGGACAGGTGGAGGAGGACGGCAAGAAGCCTGCAGCTTACAAAATCTTACAATAAGCGTTGCACCCTCTGCCGTTTGCAGGCTGCGCATGCAATGCGTGGTCCTCCCGCAGGTACTGGCGTAACGAGAAGCTGGGGGTTTCATCCTGGAAGGACCCCAGCTTGGTCGTTTCAGCTTTGTTCGTTCCGCATGCGGGGAGCATTTCGCTGCGCTCCTTGCAGGATCCGAGACGAACCACGACACTTTTCCAGGCGAAGCTCGAGTCATGTGGTTCCGCACGCAAGACATTTCAATTCTTTCCACCTTGCGAGGCAGCTCTAGATGGAAATCTTTTCTTCTTGCAGCTGTACACGGAGGTGGGTGGTTTCCTGGATGCTGCTGGGCGCTCAGCGGTCACAGGTCGAGGAGGTCCATCTGAAGAGAGCACGCGCCCTCGGAGAGGTGGATGGCAAGGGCAGAACGGCTCTCCATTACAATTGTGCTGGGGGTTCCTCACAGGTGCATTTGCTTCGTGATCCACTGGCATGTTGTCGTGGTGTAGCCAATACTCGGAGGCTGTCCACTACCTTCTGCAACACGGCGCGAGCGTTCAGTTGCCAGACCTGTCGGGTCTGCCTAGCGATGCTTGATGAAGCCCGGGGATTTTCGATTTACAATTTGGCAAGGTGTCCTCGTGAATTGCATTGTTTCAGGCTCCACACCGCTGCACTGGGCTGCACGATATGGCCATGCCCCAATTGTCAGGCAAGTTGAAGTCATGTGTGGGGTTAGTGCATGCTGCAGTGTTCCCACCCCAGCCAGTGTCATTGAGACGTAGCATGGTGGTTGCGCTAACCCTGGATGTGTTCTGACGTTAACTTTGTGCTCACAGGAGCATTCCGGAACCCTGCAGGCAGAACACCCAGGCAGCTGCCGGCTAAAGAACTGGCAGGAAGTGCAAAGGCCATTCACAGGCAAGACAGACAAGGCAGGAGGACTGGCAAAAGGCGCTAACGCTAGATGCTGGCACAGCCGGCGCCTGTCCGACAACCTGGGAAAGCAAAGCAAACGAGTTCTGAGGGGTCTCATTCACGTCCAGATCCTATCCCAAGCTTGTATTCATAATCTTGTCTTGGAACGCAGGCTGCTCCTGGACTCCAAAGCTAGTCCAGATGAGCAAAACAACATGGGCGACACCGCCATGCACGAGGCACGCAGATGTGGGCAGTGCCTCCCTGCTTGAATTGAACAGAAGAGTGGCGAAAGGCTGCGGCGCTTGGGTTGGTAGAGCCTTTGCAGTGGTTGGCCACGAGCTCAGACTCATGCTCTTTCAGGCTGCTTCCTTCCGCTGACTTGCAGGTGGTTGCCAAGGCCAACCTGTTGCTCCGAAACCGCGAGTCTCGGACACCGCTCGAGGCGGTAAAGTCGGGGACACTCACACGAAACTTGAGCTTCCGGTCTCTGTCAAATCAGCTACATTTCCCTTTACCTTGGCCAGCCATGTTGCAGGACAGAGCCCTAGCAACTCCACCACGTAGCACAGCACTAAAGTGCAACTCCTGCCACGGAGATCAAGTCAAGCTGAGGATAAAATCAAGACAAGTATGTGATGCCACAGCACTCGTCGGCTGAAGTAGTCCCGAAGGCAGACAGTCGAGATATGCCGAGATGTCCGGGACGGAGGGGAGTTACAGGATAGCCGGTTCATATCTGAGCACACTAAGGAAAGGGCACAGCTTATCAGCAGGGCAGGGCCGGCAATGCGCACCGCTCTGCTGGCTTGCTTCGTGCTGAGCCATGCCGAGCTGCTCTGCTGGCGGAATTCGGTGCCAAGGAGGAGCCGACCGGATCTTGTCAGCACTTTGCCAGCGTGTGCAAGGGGAGTCGGTGATGCCAAGCTGTAGTTCAGAAATCTATCTCAAGCCCGAGATTGCCGAGGGCCAGCTCGTGGATACTGTTCGAAGTGAAGTGGAGACATTTCGAAGGAGCCGCAGCGCTTGGTCCAATGCGCGATGTTTGCTGCAAAGTTCTGCTGAGGTCCACTCGTCTCGCTGACATGCTGATCGGTGCTAAAGGCTAGAAGTACGGCCCTGTAGGTCCCGCAGTGCTCCTGGCGTGTTGCCAGTCGCAGCTCGACACGCTGGGAAGTGACAACCTTACAGTTCTGACTTTAGACACAGTGTCTTCCTCTTTCTGCGATGCAGAATGTTTCCAGGTCGCAGCAACGCTGGACATACATTCTGACGCACTGTGCGGGGTTGCGTGGTCTCCGAACCAGCAGCGTTTACTCACTGCAAGTGCCGATGGCACCGTGGGTCTTTGGGAGGAGCACTCGGAATCTTTTCATGCTGCACCTTGTGCAGTGGTGCAGCCGCCAGGAGCAGAATATCAGCTACTCTCCAGTGCAAAATCACGACCCGGAAGCATTTCAATTGGTGGCTTTGGCCTCGAGGGCACACGACATGTCGCCATGCCAGATGGTTGTAAGTTCGCTCGCAAGACCTTGCGAGGCCATCCTTGGCTCGAACAGCCACAGTCCGGTCCGTGATGCGACCTGGTCACCGGACAGCGAGCTGATCCTAGCTGCGAGTCTGGACGGCTCGGCGAGAGTCTGGCAGCCCCTAGGCCCTACGGTCGGTGTGAAATCGGAGTCGGCGACAGAGGCGGTTTGATCAGCCCAAGGCTCGCGGGTGACGCAAGCCGGATCCTGCGCAACGTCACCGAGGAGGAGTTGGACTCCGACAACGCCTCGGAGAATGACAACGTCACCAGGCTTTCCCTTTCCTCCAGAGAAGACAACTGAGGGAATAGCGTGGCTCGCGGGGGTGCAGGCTCCGACCTCCGGCAGTGCAGGGACGTCTCCTGGAGCCTTGGTCTGTACACTCCATGCTCATGCAGTCGGACACAGCGCTGGCATCCAGGCTGCAGGAAGGGGTGTGTGGCAGCCTGGAGAAGCTTTTGGAGATAGCAGTAAGTTATACGTATGGTGCAAAGTCAAGCGCAGCTCAGTGTCTTCAAGGCAGTGGAATGGAGCTCCAATGCGAGTGCTATCGGTCGTGTGCTCGCCGGCTCGCAGCTCGCCTGCAACTGTGAAATGGTAGCAGGTAGCATGTTTGGGGGTGGACAGTGGTGGATATCTCCTTGCAAGATGTGACTTCTTGAGGCGAGAGCGAACCGCCTGTGTGTCCTCCCGCGATGCGGGCCAGCCGCTAAGATTTGTTCCAATTCACTAGCTCAGGCACATGCTGTTAGGACCCTTCGAGCATTGATTGGAGACAACTGCTCCACCGCTCCAATTAAACTAATTCCCAAAAGTTCGCTCAATTTTGTATGGTACCAGCGGTGGTGAACTCGACAGCACTGGACGCGACTCTTTCACTCCCATGCTCTTTCCTGAACTTTTCGGCGCTACGATCAGTACCATGACCATGTGATGTTCTGGTCATTGAGATATATAGCAAGATGTTCTGGTCGTGCGTCCTGAGTCCCGTCGTAAGATGTTGGTGGTGTTCAGCAGCCGTAGTTGCGCCTCGCTGTCCAATGTTACCCAGTGCTCAGCCACGAGCGCTTTCTGAGCAGCCGCTGCAAAAACCGAGGCTTCGAGCCTTGTGCGTCCAGCCATGAGCTCGCGGAGCGCAGCACCGGGGCCTCCTACCTGCTAGGCGGTCAGTGGGCGTCGGGCGTGCTGTGTGTGGCGTATGCTCATGCGGTCTCCGCTCGCATCGAGTCTGGCCTTCATGGGAAGCTCCTCTGGGTCTCCTTCAGAAGTCTCAGCTTTTGGAAATTGGGCCTCGGCCGACTCGCAAGTCAGAGCTTGCGCCGGATCCTGCACTGCAAGAGAAGGATTGTTGCGCCTGATTCCATGATTCCAAGAGTGTCCTTTGCCCAGCAGCACATACCAAACAGATCTGTAGAGCTACGGAGAAGGATTGCCGTGAGAAGGCCAATCACAATGCAAGCCAGAGCATGAGAAAAACGAAGGGTGACCTAAGGGTAAGGCCAAGATGAGAAAGCCTGTTCAAAGTCGCTGCAGGCATTCGCACAGAAAGTCAAACATCAAAGCAAACCCATCTAGTTGCACCCGAATGCTCGGCATGGGCATAGTCTACCCACGACACGGCAAAACCCTTAGCCCTTACATTTCCTGCAGTTCGTTGTGGATGTCATAGAGTAGTGTTGCCTCCGAAGCTCTGCAGGTTTGGACCACTCTGCATCAATTTGGCATGCGAGCAAAGCCATGCACTGAGTGGGGAGGATGTACTAGGAAAATGGATAGCAGTAGCAGCGCCCTTCGCTGGAGGAAATTCCCAGCCGCTGGGCCCTCGAGGCAACTCTCGAGGCAGCCGCTGTTCACTGCCACCGGCCGCTGGAGTCTGAAGTTCTGCTGCTCTCAAGGGTGTCCGTCACTTGATGGTCTCTGTTCGCTGGTCACCAGACGGCAAACAGCTCCTGCCTGCCACCCAGATTCACAAAAACGAACGACTGCGATTCGTGCCTGCTCAGCGCCAGGACTGGGGGCAGTGACGGCCTCGCCCGCATCTGGACCCTCACCGACACGGACTTCCAGGGTAGCGGCGTGGCACTCAGTTCCACCCAAGCCTTGTGTAGCCAATTTCTTTCAAGAAGAGGTCGACAGCGGTGGAACCTCCGGGCGAAGATGCAGGTGCACAGCCAGGCGCAGGGCGGTGCTGAATGGGCCTCCGTGAGAACACTGGAAGTAGAAAGTTCGAGGCTGTTCGAGCCGTCGCCTGGTCTCCTGACGGACAGCACGCGCTCGTGACAGCACACTCTTCCCAGCCCGGTCCAGATGCGATGAGCAAGTCATGAGCTTGAGGTGCTGACGAGCGGTCGTAAGGGCTACGCGTACATCTGGTCCGGGACCGGGTCATGTCTCGAATCGAGCAGTTGAACAACCTGGAACAGCACAGTCCTAAAAGGCAACCCTTTGAGGGCGATGCCGACTGGGTGCTCAAGGCACGCGTGGGCTCCAGCTGTCTCCTGCGATGTCAAAGATTCGAGGTCTGTTCCCCGCTTTCTTCCCCCAGGGCCCCCATGCCAGAGAGTTGCTTGTCTCATACGCTGCCGGAAAATGGCAAACCAAGCTCCAAAAAACACCGGGTTCCGCAAGTTCAATTTGGACTTGAGAACGACGGTGGTAATTACCCCTTGCAATGGGCTGTAATGCCATAGCATGAAAATTCCGGCAGCTGCGGTTGCATAGCAGGCCACGCAGTTATCTGGCACGCCATGCTTACTCACACAAAATGTGCTTGCCGATCCGTGCAGGGGTTCCTGACGCAAGCGAACGGCATGGAAGTGCCACCGAACTTGTGACTCGGCAGCCATGATGAGCATGGAGAGGCAGGTGTGTGTGTGTATGATGCAGAGGGATGGAGCAGGTGTGTGAGACGCCTGGTGACGTACATGCTTTTGCTGTGCCGTGTGTAGTTGCATGTCTGTCTGCAAGTGATACAGGGCATTGGCCAATCCAAGAACCTCCAAACCGAAATCGTTGAAGCCAACGCTGTCTGGGTGTTGTGTGGAAGGTGGCCAGGGGCTAAGCCGAGCGCCCGACCCACAGAACAAGGCTTGACAACTAAATCTAGGCATGCTACTCATACTCTCTCCGGGGAGCTTCTAAGTGTGTTTTCGACCGGCATTCTGTCAAAGGGTCGAGCGTAGCTTCACATGACTTCCACAGTCCAGACCGCTTGCGTGCTTCAACTTGATTGATTGTTTGATTGACAACTTGATTCCAGTGTGCTTGATGGATTGCTTATTCCCACCGAGCGCTCTGTCAAAAAGCCTGCAAACTGACAAACCACAGCGTTCCGGAAATGCCGGCACCATTGTGCGAAATGCTGGCGCCGTTGCCCGTTGCGGGCTGCGGCTGTGACATGCTGTTACCTGTGAATTCAACGGAGCCGTACAATAGTGTTCCGACACTACTAGCACCGTTTGGGAGGGCTACGGCCTGCGAACTCAACAGGGCCGAAAACGGCATTCAGGAAATTGAAAACGCTGGTAAACCCCGAACCCTGAACCTAGTTCATGGTTGCTATAGTGTTTAAAATTAGTCTAAAATGTAACATAATGTAACCCAACTATGACATAAACCCCAATCCCGAAAGCCCTACACCATCAACAAAAAAGCCCTAAACCCGCAATCCGGAACTGAGAAACTCGGGCTCTTGCCGCCAGTCATGTCTCTGCACCTACATAGGTTGGTGGAGGCTGCGGATACATGCATTTTTCTTTTCCGTGTGTCTCTGTGTGTGTGTGTGCATGCATGTGCGCGTATGCGCGCGTACACGTTCGTGCACATGCTTGCCAGGTCTCGGCATATCTAGGTTTCCATGGTGCCCGAAGCCTGTCGGCGACAAATCAAGCTGAGGACGAATACGGCATTGCATTCGCCAGTGAACCCGGCACGCCTTGACACGCTGCACTCGGACTCCAACATGGGCCGGTGTCCCAACTTCTCACAGGCAATAACTCAAAAAGGAGAACGAGAACATGGCATTTGCTGGCTCTGCCCAGGCTGGGTTTCTGACTGGTCGCCTGTCCACGTTGCTACCTGGTCCTCGGACGGGCGCAGGGTGCCATCCAGCTAAGTTTGTTAGGGGTCACGGGGAGCTTCTGGAATTACTAGGCTGTGTTCTTTTGCTCGCCTTTATCCATAGCGTACTGCCTTGAGGCTACTGGTACTTGCCGCAAGCCTGTTCCTAAACATGACATGTGGTGCGCGAGCCGGCTCCGATTGTTGTTGTTGCGTCGTGATCACTTTCCAGAGGTACTTGCAAAGTCTAACGAGTGTCGTGGCCGGTTGCTTGTGATATGCATACGCTAATGCCACTCGCGCCACTTGCACCACTCGCGCCACTCGTGCCAATCGCGCCACTCGCGCCACTCGCGCCACTCGCGCCACTCGCGCCACTCGCTCCACTCGCTCCTCGCGCCACTCGCCACTCGCCACTCGCTCTGTGGGCGAAAGGAATGAGTGGAACTGGTAACGTAGAGGGGCGAGTGGAGCGAGTGGTACGATTGGAGCACGCTTCTAGTGGAACGACTGGCACGAGTAGAACGGTCGGAGCGAGTGGAACGAGTGGAGCAGCTGAACCCTTAAATAAAAGACCAGACCCTCAACATCCCAAAACCTGAAAGACTAAACCCTGAACGTTTGAGTTTAGGGCTTAGGGTTTAGGGCTTAGTTCTGTTTTTGGATTCAAGTGCTTAACCAGGGCTTGGGGTGAACGGCTTCGGGTTTAGATGTTGTATACTTGCGCTCTCTGTCTCTCTCTATATATATATATATATATATATATCTATTTTTGTGTATGTGTATATATACATATATATATATATATACATATGATTGATTTGGGGTTGGATTGGTCGGCCCCGTAGCCCACTCAGGCTCCGACTGTAGAACCGTAAAGCCTAAACTAAACCTTAAACTTAAGTCCTTAACTCTGCCACACAAGCAGCCAACGCTTGAAATAAGTCGCCTGCGCCAATGCGCCGCTCGCGCCACTCGCCACTCGCTCTATAGACGAAAGGAATAACAGGTAACGTACAGGGCGAGTGGAGCGAGTGGAACCGACGGATTAGCGCCCCCCCCAAAGCCGACACTCACTGAACTTCGCTCAACACGGAACTCTCAGAGTCGTCTGATCCCCAGCGGTGAATGATAAGGATTAGATACATTGCCGAAGCCTGAAGGGAAAGAGCGTGGCCCCAAGTTACATCTGGCTGAGTCCGTCCAAAGTTGAATTACGCAAGACATTACAAACCCTGACCTGCACAATTGAGCTATTAGCGGTAGCTACTCGTCTAGTGGTGTTGGATGCACAGTGGACAGTCTTGACTCGACTCGTTGCTCTCTTAACCGGCTGAGGGTCTTTCGATCCTTGCCTGGCCATCGTCTGTAATACTCTCAACAAAAAGGCGTCCCAACGAAAGCGAGGTGTGGGTGAATTGACTGCAAGCAGGGTCTCACTTCTAGGTTTTGGCTTTGCGCGGACTAGACATTCCCCTGCATGCGCGGCAGATCGCGACCGGCAGCCCAGACGGTTCAGTGCGCCTGTGGTTGAACGATCTGCCTGGGCCCTGACGTTCTCCGATGTTGCTTGGCAGCTGCATGTGAAGCAAGGACAGTTTACGGCCGGTGGACGTTGGAGGCAACCCTTCATGGCCACTCACACGAGATCTGGTCCATGGCCAGGATGCCCGGCGGTAGAGACCCAGGGCCCAGGGCGGAGAGAGGAGGTGCCTTTCCTGTGTGCCAAGGCCTGGTCTCCGGACAGCCGGCAACTAGTTACGGGCGACCAGGCGCACACAACATTGCACAACGCACCTCTGGCTCTTTCAGTTCATCACCCGCCCGCACTCTCTGACAAAGGTTGGTCGAGCTCGCCTGTGGCAGATGAGAGATGAGGACAGGTCTGTTCAAGCAAACTGCCGCTTCGGTGGAATGCGATGTGCGGAGTTCTATTCAACGAAGCTGCGTGCCCTGAGGACATGCAGCAAAGATGACATCCCACCGGCGAGACGGGGGACGTCTGAGCATGCATGCCGCCACGCGCCAGAAGTGCTGGAGTGGAGGTAGGTGCCCTCACCACCGTGCCTAGCTAATTGACATGGAGCTGAGTAGTGCAGCATACATACCTGCAAAGCATTGTTGTCGGGCAGCCTGGCTTTAGCCTACAGATAATGAACCCAGTCGTTCCCTCAAAGAGGGCATCGGCAAGAGAGCTGAACAAAAATCGACACCTTGATTGCAGATTTGCGAACTTCGGCTTGCTACCGGGGGAGTAGTGCTGTTGTTGAGACAGACGCAGGTGGCAGAGAGAGCTTCTTCCAAAGAGGCCCTGCAGCTGCTGCAACGCCTCGAAGGCTGGAGCCGTGATGCCTTCGTTTGCCACACGACTAATGCTTTCTGATCAACTGAGACGATGAGCTCGAGCAGTGTGGCCCTCGATACAGCATCGTCATCCCTCGAAGCACAAAACTCTGCCGACTTCCGCTTTGCTTCCTCTTAGGTCTGAGTCGGATGCCGCTCGCACAGCGCGGCGCGAGCGCCGCGCTCTCGCAGCCCGCGCGAGAGAGCAGGCTGGGGGCGAGTGCGCTGTGTTTTTCTCCGGACTGCACTGGCAGATAGGGGATGGCATTGGCCGAGAGTTGCAGAGTGCCTGTTCTTGAAGGAAGATACAAATCAGTTTCATTCCTGTTCGTAGTATGAATCCTTTGTGCGCCATTGCGATAGTGATATTCATTGCTGCCTTGCGCCATGCAGTCATGACGTGCAGCTGCCCCCCGCAGGTGACCAGCCCCGAGCACGAGGAGTCTTCAGGGGAGGAGATCCCAAGCATGAAGTTTGTCGTGCTTGCGCAAGACTCGGGGTCCCAAAACGATCGACAACGTTTTTGGCTTATTAACCGTAGGACGATCCTGCTGACGAAGCAGTTCTGGGAAAGAGATGCATCAAGCCAAAACTCGCTCTTCGTTCAGGAACCAGGTCCCCATCAAAACATATCGAATTGGAGTGTGACCGACAGATGCACGCGTTGCTCAGTGCTTCTTGACACGTAAATATCTGGGTAGGTCGCGAATGAAGGGGCTGTTGCAAAAGATCTAACCTATGCGAAGATCTGCAGGCATTTCATGTCCTCAGAACCCATCTCTTGGAGGATGATTCGCCTTCCTTGGCGCTCGCGGTTGTTCGGGCCGCTAGGCAGGGGAGCCTGCACCACCGAATTCACTCAGTGAGAAACTTTGAGTCAGGCCTTTGCTTCGCAGCGTGCAGTGGCTGGCGAATCGTGTCTTGGGTGAGAAGAAAACGAACCTCGACGAAAGGCAGAGTTTCCATGGCTAAGTTGGCCTTCTGCTCCGCCGTTGTGCTTCTCGTTGTTTGCATGAGGAACCTTGGAGACACGAGCCAGCTGGACTTTCAGCTTCTTGTTGGTTGAGCAAAGATGGCGCACACTTGCACACAGTTTGCATCAGGTTCTCGTACGACCACATGTCCGGCCAATGGGTGCTGCAGAGGTCCGGCACAAACAGAGCTTGCAAGAGATGCATCAACTGCATTGAGCCGCGGAGGCAGCCGGGGGCGGAGGAGGAGTCGGCTTCCTCGGAAGACCAGACTTGGCCGGCTCCTGCAGAGAGAGCGGCATCACGCTGAAATCCAAACCGAAGCAGTCTGAGGTCTCTGCCCGAGGTGAAGCACGGAACAAGGCCGGCATGCGCCATACTGTACTGACACGGACCGCATGCTTGGACGCCACTCCAAAGCCTACTTCCCAAAACCTCTCTCCACCTGAAAACTAATTACCCGCATAGCCCTGGCTCAGCAAATCGCCATTGAACACGAAAACGGGACCTGGCTCTCCTTCGCGGCTCTTCGCCAACATAGAATCCCACAACAAAAGTCCACAGATCCCGGGCAGGAGCAGGACCGGTGTGCGCACGCCCATAGTAAAACCGGTTTTACTACGGACATGCTCGGAGATGAAATAGCTGAGTCTGGTGAAGAGTCACAGATGCAGATGCTCGCCCCGCATGTCACCTGCCACCTCACGCCTCACGCCACCCGGCCAGCCCACAAGCTCTGCATGCTTTTTTTCGGGGCATCATACTTACAAGGAAACAATGCTGAGCTGAATGCTTGCGGAACTTCTCGAGAGAGTGTCGCAGATGCAAGGCAAGCGAACACAATAGCATATCCCCAGAACAGAAGTGGCTAGTTGCGCAACGTGCATGTTGCCGCCCACAACCGCCACAAAGGTACTGTACTAGTACCACACTGAACAACATGTAGCTTCCAACCACGCAAATAGGTTCAGGCTCCTCCCCTCCCCTCGCATCGTAACTTTTGAAAGTTGTTTCAGCGCTACCAGGCACCCAGACACCGAAGATGGTGGCATGGCCTGAAGCTTTGCCTGGGCATGACATGGTTTGACGCAGCATCTCCGAACAACTATACGGTGTTTATGGATGTGTATGTGTGTGCAAGAAACTGAATCTGGTACTGTGCAAGTAAGTGATGGTTTGGTATCCACATGTAAGCCATGATGCAAGCTCGGCAGTCATCAGATTTAGCTGCACTCCATCGGGTGTGGCGCCAGCCTGTGCCAGCGGTAACTGTCGAGAGCCAACTTCCTTTCATTATTGTGTCTTCGTTTGCCAGAGCCCTGCCAGAACTTGCAGATGCTGGCACAATATGCGCACCTTCAGAGCAGCTTTGATTTTCATCGTGCAAAGAACACAGTCTCACTTCGTTGGATGCTTCAAAGGTGTCCGCACCTCGCGACAGCGCGGAAAGCCGACACTGTATGGGAGGGAATTTAGCAGATCCGCCCATGTCCGGGTACGAATGCACAGCACTGAGAGCACTGCAGCCACTAGCCTTGGCTCGACCGCTTCTGGTGCGACAGTGCCCGGGCCCAGCAGAGAGGTGGGGGCGCCTTCGGCTTCGCCCGAACTGCTGCAGACTGGAGAAGCGCTGAGCCTGCCAGGCCATGCCAAACGCGGCCAGCGGTGAGAGGTCCGCTTGCGTCCAGTGCATAGTGTAGTTTCCCGTGCTCCACTCCAGCTCACGCAAACATTGGGAAGCGCCAGATGACAAAGGAAAGCTTGATCCACATCGGCCCCGAACCACAGCTCTGAGTGATTCGGAGAACGAGTTGACACATACGCGTGCACACACACAAACAAAGGCACACACGTCAAAACCGAAGGCACGGAAACACAGGTACTAGTGATGTGCGGCATAGCATCACGTTTGCCACCCAAACCCAGGTGTGAAAGGTATGTTTACGACGTGGCTATGACAGGCGCCGCGGCGCCCGTCGCGCCTGCCATGTCCTGGCTGGGTTGGGCCACTCGTGCGATCTTGACTTCCCAGCAGCACTGGCACTAGGCATCCGCAGTCTTCTGCCGCCAGGTCTGCTGGGAGCACTCCGAGCCGGAGCGGCCTTCGCATCGACAAGGCGGAGACGGGGCGGTGCCCGCGTGGACGACCTGTTCGGAAGCGGAATAGGCAAGCGGTCGAGGGAGCCAAGGAGGTCCCACGCCGCCAGCTGCTGACAGGCGACGTGAAAGCGGTATAACCCGGTCGTGATGGGGGTTGCTTCGAGGAGCTGGTTTGAGCACCGCCCTCGCAGCCTCGCCGGCGCTAGCATTCGAAACGTCCAGACCCCGGATTCAAGCAGCTCTGAACCAGAGAAGCTCGCTTGGGTTGTGGCAGAGGTGGGTAGATTCCAACCAGGGCTACGAGTTCAAGTTCCCAACCGGCCCACAGAAGTCCGCTGCTTCTAGAGTTCCGAGTGTCAACGACAGAGGCACAGAGCGTGAGCTGTGCCAAGGTCCACCCTCAAGGGCTACGATGTCTTCTACCGAGACATCCTGGAGCCTCTCGAGTACATCGGCGTCAAGGCTGCGGTGAAAGCTACCTGCAAGCAGACCTTAAACAGCTCTTATCATTTGCTACAGTATGGGGCATATGGACACGGACTCCGGGTAGCTGTCCAGAGTTCGGTGCAGGTTGTCGGAACGCAGCGCAACAGCCTCGACGACGTCGGCACACCTCAGCAGGTGCACCGTTTGTCTGTGTGTGTGTGTGTGAGAGTGAGTCAGTGAGGGAGTGAGAGTGACAGTGACAGAGAGAGAGTGAGGGAGAGAGAGAGAGAGAGAGATTGCATTGTGCAACATAATGTGGTACTGCTTGGGGGGGACGTGGCTGAAGGCTGAAAGTATAGCCGAGCCCTCTTTGACAAAGTCATCGGGGGAGAGACCAAATCCTGCGGACTGCAGGTGTGCGTTCGCGTGCATGGCAGAGAGAGAGAGAGAGAGAGAGAGAGAGAGAGAGAGAGAGAGAGAGGGTAGCCACACGCAGTTACGAGTTGTAGGACATGGCGTCAAGCACAGTTGTTGTTTCAGTGCAATAGTGGAGAGTGGCTCACCAACACGGTGATGGGCGTGCGGAGCCAAGCTCAAGATAGAGTTCCGATTTCCGGCACGAGGGGGGCCCCCCCCTTAGCCTACGAGGCGGGTTGGGGGTCATAGGCTAGTGGTTTTGGGGGGCAAGCCGGTGAATCAGAACGAAAACAATCTCGGCTTTTCACTCCTGCCTGTAATCCCTCCAGTGCGCGGAAACGCGCGAGGGGGGCACGGACCAAACTCGTGCTTCCCTCCGACTGTGCTGAAGAAGAGAGAGAGGGTTAGGGTGGGTCCCTACCAGGCAATCTCCACAAACCACTCCGACCACGGGGGAAAATCTCCCAAACGTATGACCCCAATGCCCTTTCTCCCACAGAGAGAGAGAGAGAGAGAGAGAGAGAGAGAGAGAGAGAGAGAGAGAGAGAGAGAGCGCGCCCGCGCGCGGAGAGGGGTGTGCGCCCTTCTCTTGGCTGTGTGCAAGCAAGAGAGAGAGAGAGAGAGAGAGTAGCCATTTTGGCTCAAGTACTGCACCTTTGCTTGGGGGTGTGTTCCACCTCCTTGCATCGGGGGGCAGCTGGTGGGGTTGGCTCGGGCTGTTCCTCCGAGAGAGCCCTACCGTTGTCCCAGCGGTGCTTGAGACCAATCGTCCGCCGCCATTGCCCTTAAGTGGCCCGTGTAGCCTTCCTGCAGGGGGCGAGCAATAAAGTTGAACGGCACGGTCGAACACTACTTGCAGTCCGGCGACCGGGGGACAGCAAGGCCTTCCAGCTCGACCTGCTAATCGAGGGGGACGCGGTCTTCTTCACTACCAGCACCCTGACTTTCTCAGCCAAGCTTCGCTCACCGAACGACTGCGCTGGGAGGGGAAGTACCACACTTACAAGTCCGTGACTATCGGGGAGACTGAGAACAATAACTTGACAATAACCACCGTGGTGGAGTGGTACAGATGGACCCAAGTGGGGGAAAAAAGCTGAAGGGAAAGAAGCAATGCCGCATATGTCGACAGGGTGCAGGAGTATGCCAGCAGGGTTTCCGCAAGGTACATGAGAGGGGAGATCCAGCATGCCGTTTCCATGGTTGCAGTGAGAAGGGGACGGGAAGCCGTCCGGTGACCCAGGGCAGCAACCCGCCGTTGCGGGCGGCAGGGGAAGCGAGAAGCACGCAGGTCCCTTTCACACACATGACCAGGTTTACCACAAAGAGGGGGATAGGCCTACACTTTCTACCTGGGCCACTCGACAAGTGGGGGAAGCGCGAGATCTACAAGGAAGGTGACACATGGATGGACCTGGTGACAGACAAGCCCTTGTCCACCCTGGAGGCGGGGGAGTATGCCAAGTACCGCGGACGGTTTGAGGAAAGGTGCAAAATAGCCAGCACGGTGGACAAGCTTACCAGGATCGTGGACAAGTATATGCCGAAGCTCGCCAATGAGACACGGGCACATGTTATCCGCTTTCCACAAAGAGCCGGCCCACTACTAAAAAAGGCACGCCAAATCCGGAAGAAGCTCCGGATGCGGCGTAAAGCAGTGGGGGCGACAACCTCGACGCCACCAACAACAAGGACGCCACCAACAACAAGCCGTGGGGGAGAGGCCACAGCCGACTTGCGAGAAGGGGGCGACGACTGGGGGAGCACAGACTCCGCAACCTCCGACACAGAACTGCACAACCAAAGCAGGGGAGAGCAAGCTGAAAAAGTGATGACCGAGGACGAAAGCAACCGCGAGACAGCGACAGCCCAAGGCCAGAGTGAGCCAGGACTGGGAAGCACTGGAACAGCCACCAAAGATGACGCGCAAGAAGGGGGACGCAGCTTGGGAGAAGAGAGGCCGCGCACTCCTAGCCGAAGCCCAAGGAGAAGACGGTTGGGGGATGAGCGCCCGCGCACCCCTAGCCCCAGCCCGCGGGGGAGACGGCCATGCACAAGGCCACGGAGAAACAGGCTGGGGGAAGAACGCCCACACAGCCCGAGCAGAAGCCCACAGCGAGTACGACTACAGCCGAGTATTTGGTGGCAAGTGCAGCAAGTACAGGAACATATGCACCACCAACGTGAGAGCCGTGAGCGCGACTTGTAAAAGCGCGGGAGCTGGGGGAAGGCACTCCTTTTTCGTCTGTTGCTGCTGCCTTTCGCCTCCCCTTGCTCCCGAGTTTCTCCTCTGAACCCTTGCCGGGGGAATGCATACCTTCTTGCAGGTAGCTCGAAGTAGCCGCCGTGTGGTTTTCCTTGTCTACAACAGCTCGAAGTAGCGACCGAAAGCCCAATTCATTTGCACCAATCGCCACTCTGCGACTTTTGTTACCAACCGCCACA